CCAGGCCTATCCGAACCAAGTCCTCTCCGCTTGCAGGGCTGCAGTTCTCAGTTCTCGCTTCTTCGGCGATTCCACGTCGCTGACATATGAACGGAGCGGACTTGTGAGTATTGGGGGCAGTTTGATGATTTGTATGGAGTATACGCACAAAAGACCCCTGATCTCGTCATCCCGCGGTGTGGGAATAAGAGGATGGGAGTGTGTAGGTGATTATGAAGCGGGAGAGAGAGCATTGACCAGTTGGCCATTACCGCGGAGTTGGGATTGGGAATCATGGGACTACAGAGTGAAAGAAGCTTTTAGCTCTACTCGGCATTTTTCAGTCCAATCTCAATGACGCGAGAGCGCGGGAGTGAGGAGTGGGTGTGGGCGTGTGCTGGATCCCGTTCACGGATTTCAATGATTACTGATGACTCTTTTGCCTGTTCCTAGAGTCCCCGGTTCCACATCTCTCTCACGCGCGTGAAAGAGTGTTGGTTTGGCGGGGTCCAGCTTGTTCCTTTACTCGCCGATCTAGGTGACCGTCCGTCCGGCCGTCGGGGCCACGGCAACAAGTGAACCGTGCGGGTAGTTCGGAAGGGCTCGAAAGTATGAAACTCCAGGGTCTTGAAGAGGTCCAGAACAGTAAACAGTCACGCTTCATCAGACGGCCGCTTTTCAAAGATGCCGAACTCCCCCTCTCTCACTTCTCTGTCTCTCCCGTTATCCTCCGCATTAAATCCGGATTCATCGTCAAAGCACCAAGCACCCTTCCGCTCACTTCTCTTCGGACGACACGGGACCGTTTTTTCTGGAAACCCCCCCACGCCTTTATTGTTTCCTCCGTTCCCAACGGAGGGAGTCGGGAGGATTAAAGGTAGGAGAAATTGAATACCGGTAGGCATCGGAATGGAACAGTCAATGCTTTTCGTCCCGTCTACGAAAAGCGTTAGGAATCGCTACGGGTTACCGTACAGCCACGCGAGTTTACGAAGGATTTCGTTACACAAGGCGTTGTAGCCGTAGCCTCCCGTATTCCGCCGTACTCGTCCCAATCCGGGATTTTGTGCAGATCGTGGGGTTTGGTACGGTGGCCTGTAGGTTAGGTACTCCGTACGACGGAGTAAGCTTGGATGCTTTCCGCCAGGCACAGCCGGCCCCCAAATCCCGCAACACTGGGATTGGAAGCCGGAAGAATATCGACAAGTCGATGATCACGCGCGCACGCAAAAGGGAAGTTGCCGGGCGAGCTGTCTTGATCCCACCCCCCTCCGCTTGCTGGGTAACTTGTGAGAGCTCCTTGCGATATTTGGCCCGGGCCTCATGTACGCGTGTGTGTAACACTGGAACCGATGGTCCCATCTCACGCGAGACTGAGAGTAGCTACGTAGGGCAGGCCCAATTGAGGTGTGTATCTCTGTCAAACGGCCTCGCAATTGGATGAACCAATCTCACGGGTTAGAACTTGAACGGCGAAAGCGAAAGAGAAGAAGTACGGTGGTGGTGGTGGTGGTGGAAAAAGGTTACGGGGCATGCATGCAGCAAGCCACGCTCTCGATGATGCCGTGGGTTCTGATCTGACCTGGACAGACCACATCCTCGTCTCCCCCGCGTCCACGTATTGGCGTATAGGCGCAGACTGGTTGTAGACAGGTAGTCGTATGTAGGCAGACTGAATGGCAGACTTGGGGGACTGAGCCACTGGCAGGACGGAGTAGAGTAGAGTCGATGGCTCATCTCGACTCAAAGCGGAGCGGAGCACGGCGATTTCAACCGACCGACCGCCCTGGGTACCCGGGAACGAGAGAGAGAGAGGAGGGGTGTGTAAGCATTGCGTTTCGTGGCTTGAAGACCGCCAAACCCTGCCATTCGCGTGGTGCCCCCAGGACATTTAGATCTGCCCGGATGACTGATGAGTCGATGACCAAAGATGAGCCATAGTACCTGATTTGCACCGTCAACCTGTGGCTGTTCGCTGTCAAAGTGTGAGCGTAATCTTTTAGAGTTGTCTGCCCCCTTCAGTTCGACATTTTGCGCCGTGCCCCGATTGACGGTGCCGAAACGTCTCCGACGCTTTCACCCCAAACTTTTCTCGGGCACGTCTAATGCCCAGAAGGCGGGCCTTTGTCTTTTCGGTATGGGCAAAGTCGGAGGGGAGCTTCGGCGGAGTGGGTTTCTTCCTGTGATTTCATCACTTGACACCTTTCAGAGATCCCCCCGGGCGGTGCGGGCTTCGTGATGCCCGGGTCATCATCGTCACCGTCACCATCCTTGCTTTTTCCCTCCCTCATCTTGCTGGACCATGGTCCCCGTGGAAACAGGAACAATTCGGCGAAGTGCAAGGACTTGTTCCTGATACTTGATTGATATTTCCATTCTGTAGATCGGAACAGATCAATTCGAGCCCAAGAAGTGAAATTGGTCAGGTATTTTGGACTCTCTTGGGCAATTTGGGTATCTAGACAAAAAAGTTTCAACCGGCCGATCAGGCTTTTCGTCCAAAGTCTGGTATGCTTGCCCGCCCTGCTGCGGTGGCCCCCGTTCGAATGAACCCCGTCGCCCGGGGCAATAGTTCTTCGCGATGGTCCGGGCTGTGGAGTTAAAAGCACCGTACCTTGCTTTTAGGCTCCGACTCATCATGGGCCCTTTCGGGTCCTGTGGCTGGGTTTGCCCGCGTCTCCCCAAGACGTGGACTCCAGGCACCAACCGCAAGGTACTTTGTGCAAGGTACGGACAGAAATGTTTAAGCAAGAGTTATGCCGAGAGCGAAGGGCGTTATGCCTAACCCGGCCGAGTAAGAGCAAAAGTAAGAGCACCGTAATGTAATACCTGTAAAACAGGTAGGTACGGAATAGGGCGCAATGAGACTCTGCTACGTTGCTCTCTTTCCCTCTCTTTCGCGTCAAGGCTCAGCCCTACAGAACGAGCGTGTGGCTCGGGGCCATTCGTAAATCCGTACGGATCTACTCCGTGTATCCGTACAGATGGGATTCGTACTTTCGTACTCTCTCTGCGTAGCGCCTCAGCTCGCAAGGGCCTGTGATTGGCGCGTGTCCGCGAAGGCAGTCAGCTGGCCAGCATCTAATCTCTCCGCAGATGTCTATCCCCCGTCGTCTGGCTCCCCCCGGTTCGCAAGCTCGCACTGCTCGCACTCGCAGGAGGACGTGGACGGAGCCGACGGCGGAGGAGGCGGTGCAGCAGCAGCATCGGCCAGGGGATTCGTACCAAGCTGTGCTGTGCTTAACCCCCGCGCGCATTCGCACAATTCGCGGCCGTACTGTAATCCCTTGTCTCGGCGCCGTAAACTGTAAGGCCTGGCGATCGACCGGGGTGAGGGTGAGGTGTTGAGGTAGCAACGGCTCTCGGCGCAGTACTTTTAGGCTTCCCATCTTTGTCCATTCTCTCACCCCAGGTGATCCGTTACGGAGAGTACAGAATGCCGGGGGTACGGAGTACTGTGAACTGTCATTATCCCAAAGGGGGTGGACGGGAGCGACATCAGATCCTCCTTCAGCCTTGGCCCCCGGGGTATTACATTGACAATTGTGACAATCAAGGGGAATTGGGAATTCTTGGGATGGCACCTTGGGACGGGGTTAAGCAAAGCATACCCCCGCCGTGAGTGAGCTGGGATCCCGCTATTGACATTATGAGGCCCGTTCACTTCTTTTTCTATTCTCGCTTGCTGGCCTCAGCTTGTCGCAGATTGCGCGCATGGTGCGAGTTACAGAGTACAGTAAATGAGCCATCATCCCTTTTTTCTGAGAAAGTGTGTATTCATGGTTGTAAGGTAGGCAGCCGGGGTTATGGTAATTGGTAAGGCGTGCGTGCGACTGCGGCCGAGAGCCAAGGCCAGCAAGCGAACCATAAGCATAATCTGCGTGTGTGTTCACGATGATACGGCGTGTCAGATTGGAAATTGAGGCAGACGAGACGAAGCTAGCTAGCGATGAAGAGATGACGCGCCTGACGGACAGGGTGAAAGGGCGTGGACGCCGGGGCAGCGGTGGGCGGTAGAGTAAAGGTTGGTGATTAATCCAACTGCTGGTCGGTGCGGAGTTATGGGAATTATGCCTAATTCCTGTCTCCGTTTTGGTGATGATGAATACAAACTCACTACTCTGTATGGGAGGAGAGGGGATGAGATGAGACGAGACTAGCGGGAGTGCGTGCTTCGCTGGAGAAGTCTAGTGGCCGATTCTGATGGAAGACTTGGATTGATTGATTACAGAGAAAAGCGAGCACAGGCTGACAAACGTGGACGCTTATCCCATCAGGACGCGAGGTACCTAGCGATCTGACGAATAAGCAGCGATGCTCCGTACTCAAGCAGCAATAAGGTAGGAAGGTACGGGTAGAAGGTTACGGATCTTCGGGGTACGTACTCAGTCCGCGATGAGTCGTCGTGATGTTTCCGCCGAGTGCGTCAGACCCTACCTCGCAGCGAGTCTAGGTAAGACTTTGGTTCTTCTGGGCGCCCTTTGGTAGCGTGGGCAGCGTCAACGACGACGACCACGACGACAACCGGATTAGCGTCTTGGGTTTGCTAGTGACGGGCAACCGTACACTTACGCCGTACCGACCGGTGGCAGCGTAGGTAAGCTCCAAAAGTCCGAACACCACCCGCAGCCCGCAGCGACAAATGCCCTAGCTGGCGGAGGCTCGGGAAGCACCCTCGGCCTTGCTGATGACAAACGCCGCCCAAAGTCCACGATGGAGGAACGGGTACCGTGGTACGGAGCTTAGAGAAGCCCCCACTTTCTGCAGGCACAGCGAAAGACTCATCGCTTTCATAATTTTTTTCTGCTTAGGAAGGTTCGCACTTCGCACCTCGCAATCGCGCAAAACTCCCGCCCACACCCCCACCCCACCCCTTCACACCCCCGATGGGTCATCCACCCCCTGCACCTGCACACCCTTCGCTCTCACACCCCTCCCCCTGTCACCGCTCCTCCCTCACTTTTCTTCTCTCCGAGCCCGACAAGTCCAGGTCAGCCAGCACAGCGGAGCAACCTGAGTTAAAAGAAATGTGTTTCCCCTTCCCAACCAGATCTAGAGAAATCCCATCATCCAGCCTCAGCTTCAACAGACACAAGACACAAGATCGATACTAACTCCTCTCAAGAAGAAACATCTTCCAACCTGAACTATTATATAACCATCATCGACCTTGCCTCTTTGCCATCTCGTCTCGCCGCCTCATCTGGTATACTCCAATAAAGATTACCAAAGCATCATCACAGACCAAGCCAACTAGCCCAGGCATCCCTGCCCCACTGCATCTTGCACCCCCCGATCTCGCTTTGAGTCATACCAGCCAAAATCGCGACATATCAGTCACCATTGGTGCACAGTCATACAAAATGTCGACAACTACCACAACTTCCACCTTCACTGCTCCTCACACACAACAACCCCTCCGCCTTGCCGTCCAGAAGAAGAAGATGAGCATTACCCAGACTTACTACCTCGCTCACAAGGCCCGGGCCAAGCTCTCCTCCGAGGCTGCCCGCGCCGACCACGACCTCCGCCTCCTCGTCGGCCACGCCAACCTCCTCGACTCCCTGATGCTTGAGCTCGCCGACGCCGAGCGCGAACAAGAGAGCTGGTTCAACCAGTCTGTCCGCGGTGCCACCAAGACCGAGTCCGCTCCCGCTGCTACCAAGGACCGTCACATCCAATGGGCCGACTCCATCGCCGAGGACTCGGAGGACCTCTACGAGGACGACTCCTCCGACTCGGACGACTCTTCCGTCTCCTCTGACGACGACTACGAGGAGGACGACATCGAGATGGCCGACACCATCTCCCTCCGCCGCATGCCCTCCGCCGCCCCCGCTTCCCCGAGAACATCCACCATCGAGGTTTCGGAAGACTACGACATGGAGGAGGACGACCTCGAGGAGGACTACGCACAGCTCGAGCTCGTCCGCACACCATCCCACTCCAGCTCCAGCTCACCACCAGAGCTCGAGCACGAGCACGACTCTGACATCTCAGATGACGAGTCGATGCCCCCATCACCGCCAAACGCAGTGCTCACCTTCAACGAGAAGGAGGCCAAGGAAGAGATCTCTCAGCAACAATCACAACAGGGCGACGGTACCTTCTACTCGGAAGGCTACTACCTGCCGGCCCGCAACCCAGCAAGGCTCGTGTCTGCCATCTCAGTGTACTAAGTCTACATTCGAGAACCACACCACTACCTTGTAACATGATCTCTTCTTTGGCTTTTTACATCAGCGAGCGTTTGCATATATTACGGCGTTTATCATTTGTCACCGATACCAAATCACAACGGCATGGGTTACGAATTACTTGGATTACAAAACGACAGCAATGTCTTCTCAACTCTTCTCTCTCATCTTATCTTTCCTATATGTCGCAATGAGAAAGCATGGGGTGCCTATTTGGAGGACCCTGATGGATAATGGAACTGGGACTTTTTTCTTTTCTTCAGCTGTCTTTCCGCTCCCGGGCTCCAGTCCGCGGTTGAGTGGTACCAGCACAATGTGTTACAGAAACCAGATAGATAGCCGCTTAGGGGGTCAAACAGTGCCCTATTCAAAAGCGAAGCATCAAACAATCAATTGAAAAATCAATCAAATCGAACCCCCTGTCCTCTGCAATACTGTGAACACTCTCTTGGTACGAGGACTTGGAGCAACACAACAAAAAAGGTAAGTCACGATTGCATCATCATTGCTTCTTCATTCGCCTCATCTCGGGGCGAAAGTAGGAGGTGTTGGATGAAACTTGCGCGCTGACCGAGTCATTTAGGCAGACCACATGATTCAGCAAAGACCTGCCCGTTACAATGCGCCGCTGCGCGTTACGACGACTCCAACCGCGCACCTCACAAAAATCGACCTTTTTTTTTGGCCTATGCCTACGGAGTACTGCATACGGCATACCAGTTTCGCCCAGGTACTCGAAGAGGGTTGGTGGATGCGCCCTGCGATCTCGGCAGATCGGCGTCGCTCAACCTCCGGTCTTTTTTCCAACAGCTGCTCAGGTGCCCGCCAACCCCTCGCTCGCTTACCTCACCCTTCGAAGCCGAGCTGCCTGCCTTGCGCAGCTGCGCTTGGTGCTGCCTGCCACGAACGACCGGGGTTTACAAAGCAAATTCCACGACGACGACCGATTTCCGCGCCCCGACATTTTATCGACACGCCCCCCTGCCTTCCTTCTAGTCATCTCTCAGGACAGTCAGTCACCGTCTCACAGATTTCCATGGTTCACTAACGCCGCCGTATCGTGGACGAATCACGAGGGGGGTTTCCTCCATGGCATTCGGGTTTTGGCGGTGTGTTTTAACTCCCCTACCGCCGTACAGTCCTTTTTTTTTTCTTGACCGCAAAGAGACGGAATTAATAATTAGGCTGCCTGGAGGTTAGTTAAGCCCGTGGTTTAATGGTGCAGGTGAAGAGCAAACAGCGAAAAAGCCGACGCCAGCGATTCGAATTATTCATCACATTATCCCCGCCGTTGCACCCGAAGCGACTTGCACAAAAGAATGTCACCGAGGACATTTACGGATACCCGCCGACGAGTCAAATGTCACGATGTTTCATTTCCATCTGAGTTTTACGGATGAACGCCGCTGGTAAACGATGAACGGCGACGATGATCTGATTTGGACTGGTCTGATGGATATTCAATTGGAGCCGAAACGAAAAACGATTGCGAAGCAAGCATGGCGCAGCTGGGGAACTTTGGAGGAGAATTCGACAGGCAGAAAAAAGAACGACGCCAAAAAACGATTACGACGATACGAAGCCGACATGAGCCACGAACCTGCGAAAAAAGGCGTGTACGGTGTGGCATCCCGCGTACACAATTACGGTATGCTGGGGAGGGGGTGTGCAACGCGGCCGCGACAGCGAATGCGAGTCACCGAGGCCAAAAAAAAAATCAATGACAGTCATCAGCGCAGGGCGTGAGCGTGCGGACGGACGAATCCCGTCCGACTGGAGACGGCGAACCCAAAGGAGATAAGCCCCAGGGCGACCAAAGGCCCCCAAGAGGAACCGACGGAGAAGACAACCTCCCGCAATTGCTTGCCCTGCCAGAAATCCGCTGAACGGGTGACAGAACTGTTCCCTCGGGGCCCGAACGTGGAGACACGTGGTGCGCATAGGGGCCCGAGCGCGTCCCTTTTTCGAGGCCGAGGCCACCGTCATCCCGCGCTGACATAAGGCACACACAGCCAGCAGCACCCGCAACCGAAAGACCCAGCGGGGGGATCTGAGCTGCCAGATTTTTTTAAGATTGGCAGATCAAAAGGCAAGATGGAAATGGCACCACAATTGGGCTTGGCTTGTGAAAGTCTTTGGCGAGGGTCGTCCGGGGTCCTTGACCACCGTACTGTTACGGCTTCGTCGGCGACCGGCCTGTTTGCTGAGCATTGCCTTTGCCATTTCCACGATGCAGACACGCTAATTACCATCCAGAGCAAATGTTGGAATTTTTCACGGTAACATGCAGGAAATAAAAAGGACCGGCAACTGGAAGCGACGACACTGAAGAAGGGGGTGTGTATCTCTTACCTGCCGCCGCTCGAAATGATTCATCCGGTCTATCCATCCGGTCTTCAGACACACGCCGGCAACCACCACGTCTTCAGCGTCCGACTTCGCTGGCACGCGGGTCGGCAGGTTCACGATTGAGCCGACACGGCCGGCGATAAGGACGAAGGTGTGACTCGTGAGAGGCATGCACGCCGACGGGACGGCTTAACGGTAGTGTTGATGGTGGTAGGTGGTAAGGTGGTGGTGCACTCTGCCGATCCAGTTTTTTTCCCGCCCGCCCGTCGGAAGCCTTGGCCGAACCGGCAGCGTCGGCGGGAGTGAGGGAGGTAGACTAACGGCAGGCACACCGGCATGCGGTCAGTTACTATGCGTGCAGTCGAATCCATCATTTTTGATCGCCAGTCTCGGCTACGAAAAGCCTAATTCAGAAGTGTGTGGAAGTCAGGTGAGGTAGGTACGGATAACGTAGAGCTTGAGTGTGACGAGACAGCAGGCACGCCTGTTTCTGTTTCACTTGCGTTATTCTTCCCGATCGAGGATGTTTGAATGAATCCCGCGGATTGTTGTGAGGGGCGATACGGATAGATGGGCTCCATCGTGACAAACGGCGCCGACGGATATGCACCTGTGAGTTGGTTTGCAGATTTCACCAGACTACCTACCTAGATAGTAGATACCCGACTCGAGTCAACACCAAAAGCCTCGGCAAGATTCCGTGTTTTCTTGGTGTATGGAGTGGAATGGATGGAAAAATAATCGAATTGCACCTTGTGAGAGTAGTGTACCGGCCTAGACGTCTAGGTCTGACAAACACCACCCGTCCGTCGCACTTGGCGGCGGTGCGGGAGTCCCACGATGGTGTATTTACTTGACCGCCTCCCGTTCGGGTACGAAGTACGAATTAATATGCTGTTCCTTTATCAATCCCGGGGATAACTACCTAGTCTACCCTACCTGCGGGTGAGAGAGAGGGAGGGGGCCTCAACACGGCAGGCAGCATGGGAAAGTGAAAAAAACCACAAGCCCAAAGGTAAGGCAGGGCGGTGAAGCCTTGAAAAGGTTCGGGTTCCTGGACGGATTTTGGGGCGGCGACGGGCCCTAGACAGGTTTTACAAGCATTATGGGAAATTGGCCCAACCTCTTTGCTCGGCTCTCGAGGTTCGTGACTGGATGACTGGGGGTTAACTCTTTTCTTATTTCTTGTAGAGCAAGGCGAAGGAAAAATGTCAGAGCGGTGCCCTGCACTGGACTTACAAAGTGCGTACAGGTTGGGACGATTGACACCTCATCTCAGTAACCCTGGACGAGACAAAGACACGCTGGCGAGCAGGGCTTCATTCGACGAGGATTGATATCAATCACTGGGGCCTGAGGGGAGGGCCTGAAAGTCCTGCGGGCGTGGGGTTTTTCGGTTCAGGGCGAGAGGAGGGGGGGCCAGACTCAGAATGAAGGGCTGCAATCTGGAGTCCTGGACCCTATCTGCCTTGCTTGCCCTGCTTGCGTCTCCCCCGTCGATCATTTGAGGCTGTAGGCGAGGGTGGAGAGCGGGGAAGGGAGTTTACCCTTCGACAAAGTGTCAATTGTGCAAAATGGCATAGATCGAGTGTCCTTCTGTCTCGCCCTCGCGCACGCAATCGCGTATGTCTACTCCGCAGTGTACGGTTAGATCGCGTGATGACGACCTGTGATTGTCGATTTCAATCACGTCGATACTCTAGAGCATGAGGGGCGCGGCCCGCACGTGGAGACTGTTGAGGTCACGATGGCGAATTTTGAGAAGGGCGATCTGATCTTCCATGCTTCCATTGGGAATCATGTGGTCTTATCGATAAGGTAGATCAGATAAGAGGAAGATTGGATCGTGTGTGCGGACGGAAGGTAAGGTACTACGGCCACGGCTTCCGAAGGCTGGGCAAGATCTTCGCGCGCGCATGTAATCATATCATTCCTACGGATACTCCATGTATCGATCCGCAAACTCCACGGCTCTTGGTCGCGGACTTGCGATTGTGCCTTTTTCCAGGGTTCATGATCTGCTTGATAAGGGGGGTCTAAGTTAGTGACAATTTGGATCCACTGAGTTACGCTGTACAGTGGGAAAGCAGAGAAAATCCAAGGTCCAGAATTTCCATGATCAACTCGTTCTGTGGATAATGGAAAAAGGTCTCGACTCTTTTTGCAAGAGTACGCAGGAAAGATTGCCAGTGAGTGCTCGCTTGAAAGTTGGACGACTAGACGAGGTGTTCGCCCGCATCTGTGCCCGCACCGCGAGGATCCATCGTTCTCTAACATACCGCCGCTCCACGACATATCCCACCCCCGTCTCCGCCGGGGTGCGGTGGATGGGATAGTTTCGGGCGGGCGGCGGTGCGGAAGGGGAGTGCAGCGAGCCCAGAGCCTGTGACTGTGAGTCCTTCGGCACGGCGGGGCATCTTTACGCAGTATGGCGGAGTTCTTTCTCCTCAAGGCAAGGGGACGAATAGTTGCAGATAATCATTGCAGGGGTAAGAATGAGAATTTTGTGCAAAGGAGATCGTGAGTATTCGATCGTGACTATTGCCTGATGAGTCGTCGATGGTCTTCGATGAAGAGATGGGAAATTCCAATGTGGTCAAGGGAAGCGAGGCTGTCCGCTCCCCACCCCTACTCGGAGTTTTTTGAGTCACTCACCGTGGCCGGCCCTGAAATTTCGCGATGGTGGCCTTGTATTGGATTCGTGCTGCCTGCGCCGCCGCATCTTTCTTCTCCCTCCGCTTACCTATCCCCACCGCCGCTCTACCAGCGGTGCCAGGTGCAGATGGGTGATTGCTTGGCATTGGAGTTAATCTCACTTTGTAATCCATAAGTCCAGAACCTGGCGCGGGGTCCATCTCTGCCCTTGGACGGCTGGAGCCCGGGGGCCGAGAAATATGGATCTCTCTATCCGTACACCGTGGCTTATCCGCTTTGTGCATAAAGGGGAGTGAGAATAGTAGCAGATGGGTCTCTGATTGTGGAAAGCCGTGGGGGCTGATATCGTAAGCCGAAGCCGAATTATTCATCAGTCATCCAGGTGCCCAGCACTACTTGTATGTACTAACTCCGTTCCTGCCACAGCTACCAAGGATTCTCCCATATTTTGTCCGAGCGTCCGATGACTGGTTCGCGCACAAAAAAGGACTCTTGGCTTGGAAATCAGAGACAGAACTTGACATGCATACACCCAGACCCCCTCCCTGCCTTTCGAAACGTGAGGAAATGCAAGCAGCGGGCCGCACCTGTCTGTTGCGAAGATCCGCAGAACGTGCTGGATTTGTGTTTGTTGGTCGCGGCCGAGTTCACAGGCGGATTTGTCAGTTCGTGCGAGACCCGGGCTGCCAAGCATCATTTGTCCGTTGTTGACAGATAGACTGTACAGAATCGCTTGAGCCCAACAAAGTCTACGATCTGAGAAGGCCGCGAGAGCTTCATCGGTCGTGTCCCCGGAAATATGTATCTTCAAACGGGGGAGATGTCGCATTCTGAAGCAAAACAGTAGTGCGTGGCTCGCTGCGCCATGCTCCAGGTGCCCACTTCACCCGAGGAAGCTTATGAGATCCATCCCACTTCCGCCCTCGGCACTGAAGGACGGCCGTCTTCACAACCGTCAAGGCCGTCCGGATCACGAGACACGTTTACCTTTCGGCTACCCAGGCCAGCGGTTCACGCAATGAGCGCTCTCTCTCCGTCGGGAGGAAACAAGAGTTGGCCCGTGAACCCGAGTTCCTGACATTGGGCTCGCGTCTGCATGTCTCTCTCGGAAACGAAACGGTCTGCCGTGTAAAAGTCAAGTGCGTATCCGTACACCAGTCATCTGATGAGTTCCAGAGTCAAGGTTGGTCGTCTCAAGCAGAGACTGGTGTGTCCGATGAGACGAGATGGTGGATGGATGGGTGGTACCGGGACGCGATTACAGATACCGCCTGACTGGATGAACGTGACCGTGCCGATTAACGACCTGACTTGCATCCCATGATGGCGTAGCTTACAACTCTACCTATGGCTGTAAACTTCACCATCTTACCACCTCTATCCAGAGGCAGCGTACCTATACTCTGCATTCATACTCCGTACACCTCAAAGATCAATACAGATTCGTGTAGTAAAGGCGTGCGCCGCGTTTTCGCACTCGCTCTTAACCCCGCGTGGGGTGCGCAATAGACAAAGCATGGGCTCATAGAGGGGAACTCTCGGCGCGGAGCGGAGTTCGCAGACCTATGCAACCCCGACGACCGCACAGAAGAGACAAACCTACGTAGTACACTCAGAGGGTGATCCGCCAGACAAGCTCCATCCCAAGGCCATCGGTTTTCCGCCCTACCATCCGCTTACCTCAGCTCACCCTAGCTTGGTTCTAATTACCTGGTAGGCTTGGGTTTGAGGCAGAGAAAGCAGAAGCATTACCGTAAAGTGTAAAACCCGCGGGTTTGAGAGCGGCACAAGGAACCCGGCTCTTCGGGGAGAAGCTAAAGTCCGGGACACCCCATGGACCCATATTTTAGACGTTCACCACTAAGATGAGTGCCCCTTCCCGCGGGTCCCGTTTTTAGGACCCCTAAAAGTGATGAAGTCATTACCCAGAGCTTTAGACGCGTTGATCCTCTTACTTGGGTTTGATGAGAGATGATTCCAACGGGGGGTGGTTCGGACGGCGGGCTAGATTCATTCCACGTTGTGGAACACGGTTGTCCGGCATCAAAGGTGGTTGTTTTCCCCATCCCTTTCGGCGCCGAGGCGGGAGTGATGCTGTCATGATTTGCGGTGGTGAGGCGAAAGGGTGATCGGCGAGGCGGTGTGTACCAGTTTGGTGCGTGGTGTATCTCTACGGAGAGGACGTTGGGATCGGGACCACGGATCGCCGAGTTGCTTCCTCGATGAACGGCGAAGAGACTTGACGTAACTTCTTTCGCCCGATGAGCTTTAGGATCCAAGGCTCTGGGACCCGTCTCGACAGGGTCGTCAGGGTCCTCTCCCAGAAGGGTTCCCGTCATCCCGTTTACTCGGCCGAGTGGCCTGTGGCCGAAACTATGTTTCGCGGGTGAGAGATCGTCGAGCTTGTAGTGGCAGTCGATGGTGTTCAACTACAGCTTCAGCCACCGGCACCAGCCTCGCTCCTTCTCACTTCTGCGTCTTTGTAAGCCTTCTAGCTCCTCCCGCCCGCTGGTGAACCATCACCTTCGCTGAACCTTACTTATACCCCCTCAACGTCGTATCTTATCACTAGCATAGCGGGCGCCCGTCTACGATTGGCGGGCCAGATCAAAACTGCGTGCGAGGTAGTGAAATAGAAGAATAAACCGATACTCCAACGAAATCAGTGTACGGGTTAACTGAGGCTCACCCTGTCCGATTCCGGGCAAGGGCTCGAATTGTGAGGTCAGCATTGCCCCTCCTTCCTTGCTCTTTCTTTCTGTATTTGAATTATCTTTCATCGGGGCGATGTTTTGTTTCACACGTATCCCCTTAGTCATGACCACCAGCCAGGCCAAAGACTTCATTAGGAGTAGACAACTTGGCTCCGGTTGTACGACAATCGGTTCTTATAGCCTGCTTGTCTGCGAGCATGAAACCGGCGGAGAAGAGAATCTCAACTATCGCACTTCCTAAACCGGAGCCTATATGTCGTCGTATAGTCTCTAGTATATGCAATATATCCTTTCCCTTATATCCTTTCCCTGAATTATTACTAGTTTCTATTTGAAGATGAGCATTTTGCCCTGAATCAAAGTCCTTTCCCTCATTCAAGTCCAAAATAGTAGTCACGTTGGATACGAGAGGTTGATTGAGATGCATACCACCGTTGGCAACCTCCACATCGGTCCCAAACCGATCCGCCACCGCGTTAATAAAGCAGAAGCTATACGCCTTCATACACACGGATCGGGACCTGCTGTATCCGAGGGCCCAAGGTTCTAGTTTACACATCGTGATGCTCGTGACGGACTTCTCCTGCATCGAAGGGGGGCCAGAGGTCGTCCACTTCAAGGCGCATAGCTGGCTGAAATACGAGGGCGCTGAAGAGTAGTGATGGCTGGAATTGGCCGCCGCTGTTGTGGCATTGTCGGTTGTGGTCAGGGATTTATCGAGAATGGTTGGTACGGGTGTGACTTTGCGAATTTTCGCCCCTCTCAAGCTCCGACAAGACCTCAGTGGGAGGCAGACAGTTTCTACAAAAAGCAACTCGATGAACATGGCGTCCCTCACAACTGCACCTACAGCGACCTGAAGACAACCATCGAGCTGTGCGCAGATCCAGTCCGAGAATAGCTTGACACCAATAACGAATTAGACGTTAAAAAGGAGAACCCTTTTTACAAGCTTGTTAAGAGATTCGAGTAGCGTGATGACCAGAACGTAGAACTAATACGAGAAGTAATATATAACCTATAATATAGAGCACCCGATAGTAAAGTAGCTCGACCAAGCAACCGCGGACACCAGCTCAGGCGGGAAGCAAGCCCCCACGCAACACTAACACCCTCCGCTGCTTCAATTACTACAAATGGGGACACATTAGCCCAGAGTGCCCTGTGCCTCGGAACCCAGCCACGTGGGCAAATGTGGTGTTAGCCTTTCGGGCACCGACCTTAGAGGTCTGGCCGTTCCTGTATGTTGCGTCGGTCCATGTGAGCTCATCGTTCAGCAGTACCTTGCTCCAATCATATTGGGGCCGGCCCTCACTGCTGATGGTATTAGGATTCAGTGAGGTAAGATATCTGGGATCAAGAGCTCCTTGAATAGTGATTTGCAGCTCCAGCTGATACTACACTTTCGGGATAGACGAGGACGAATGCCTGACTTCGGTACTCTCACCAATGAGAGATGCGATACATCGGCCATCACACATGTTAGGCTTACCCGAATCATAGGACCATTCCAACTTACGCTCCATTCATAGATGGCTGGTCAACTCCTGCAAGGTCGCATGATCCGACATGACCCAAGACCCTAGACATTAATTTCTAAACGATAGGTAAAGGCCATAGCGATCTACGGTTCAGCTGGTGTTGGTCAGCCCCAACGCCCGGGAGGCGTTAGACCACGAGTCCCTGCCAGGGAACCTCATGTGTGTAATTCCGCATTTGAACCTGCTCCAGCTGGGCTGAACAGAGACATACAAGATGCGCCGAACGACGTTTCCGGCCATATTCGTTGCCTAGACTCCATGGACTCCAGCGTGTATAGTGTATAACTATACTGATCCAGCCTGTCAAGGACATTCTTCACATCCACAACATCTCACCACAGCCATGAAATTCCGTTTGCAACAGGGGGGAGGCCAAAAACCATGATGCCATTCCCCTGAGTCTCGCCTTTGTGACCTCGTTCTCCCGCAGCGCATCTCGATACCTAACTGGGATTGCGGTACACATTGTATCGCCCCACAACTTCAGGTATGCTACAGGACACAAAAGAGGCAGATTCTGCTCGACTATTCCAAGTGGTTTCTTGAGGCCTCCAATTCAGTTGACCAAAACTCTTGTGAGATTGGTGGCGAATCACAACGATAGGTACAAAGGCGGCAACGTCGACGGGAAAGGGAGCGCTGCCTGAAGATAACGCTTCTTCACAACCCTAAGATCAACTCCTCCAGGCGAGAAGGAAAATGTAGTTAAACCATTGCCTGACTTGCCACACGTTGCTCCAGTGGCAGCACGGCACATCATATGCCCAGAGGGCGCTCTGGTTAGTTGCGGTTTAGTTACATAGATAGCTAAACCCTTGTTCCTGAGGATACAAAATGCTACCACTTACGCAGAAGACGATGTTGTAACGTGGAAAATTATTCTGTCCATATTCATGCTAGCCACTGTACTCGAAGGGGTTATGTCTCTCTCCTTATGTCTAGTGCTATATAGCCGCTGGTCTCCGTTATTTGGTTGAGCTTAAGAGCGAGAGCGCGGGTTGTGGCAAGTGCGAATAGCGCGATTTTCTACGGTCGATGCTCCCGAACCCTCTTGCGGTCTAGAGGTTCAGAATAGACATACAGAAACGCAACAGAGGCTTGGCGGGAAGAACGCAGCATTTAGGTAGCTACGCCGCAAAGCTATCTGAACGTCCTAAGCGTGTCCCAAACGGGCTGGTTCCCCCTCCCTTCTCTTCTCCTGCCTAGCTGGACGTGGGGACTGATGATTGTCCTATTCAAGGTTTCATGGGCCAGGGGCAAGCTACATGAATTCCAGAAAACGCAAGTCTTATCATGTGCCTTCTCTCAGGCAGGGTATTATCGACAGTGTATACTATACAGTCTATATTTTCCTAGAAACATTACTTTGGCCTTGAACTTTTCCACATCTCATCATGAATTATACTTCTTCCAGTCCGGCTACCTTTCCTCCCCTCGAAGGATACCCAAAACATTCAGTCAGCCATTCCCTCAGGGCTACCCAAGCCTCACTTCCGCGCCTCCGTCCCGTCCAGCTCCGCCGCGTAATAGTGCCGCGGCTCCCCTGCATCCATCTCGGGAGGCTGCACCATCTTGGGCGGCACGTCGCTGCCCGAAAACGGCGAGTGGTCCCTGTACTCCCCCTGTAGCTCCGACGGCGCCGTCGTCATGGACGGGGCCGGGCCGGGCGAGTAGGCCGTCTGCTGGTGCTGCTGCATTCCGGCATTGTGGTTGTTGTTGTTGTTATCATAGTAGGCGGCCGAGCCCGGGGCTTCGACGGCGTTGGGACCGGTTTCTTCTGTCGGGACCTTCTTGTGCTTCCGCCGCCTCACGAGGAAGAATGCGGCTAGGCCGATGAGGGCGACGCCCGCTACACCGCCGACTACGCCGCCGGCGATGGCGCCCGTGTTGGAGGATTTCGAGTCGGAGCTGGAGCCGTCGGAGCCGGAGCCGGAACCTGAACCTGAACCTGAGCCTGAGCTCGAGCCTGATTTGCCGTAGTTCATGAGAGCTTCGACGCCCGAGCCGTACTGGACGCTGGCGAGGTTACTGCAACAAAAAGGTTAGTGGGACTACACTCTAGATAATTTGTTGTCCAAAGGGATAATGGGACCAAAACTCACCCCTCATTGTACCAAGCCTTGACGACGTCGGGGGAATCGTACGCGGCGGCCGCGGGCTCGTACGCGTCCTTCCACGCCAGCGCCGTGAGGTCGAAGACGCCGACGCCCTGGCGGAAGGAATCTTCCTCGTTGAAGAAGAGGGTCGAGTTGGCGTTGTTGGCCATCCTGTTGACGCCGCCGAACGTGATCATCTGGCGCTGGCCGGCAACGACGCACGACTGCGTGTCGCGCGGCGCCGCAGAGGTGTAGTTTGCCTTTTGCCAGACGAAGCCGGGGAGCGAGAGGATGTAGACCTCGTCGAAAGTTTCCTTGTTGGCGATGTTGCTGCCGCCGTACATGAAGCTGGTCATCGGTTAGCATCCTTTCAAGACTCTGGTTTTCTGGCAGAACCATCAAGAACCTACATCTCGTATGTGTTGTTGGGACCCTGGGCTCCGACGGTGCAGTGCCACATGCGCGGTCCGGGTGCGTTGCCGCTCGTCTGTTGGGTGTACCACACCTTGGTGACGGGATCCATGAAGTAAATCGTGCTGAAGCTGAGATAGCCGACGTTATCCACGCTCTGGCCGGTCCCAATGACATGCGACCCTCCGCCAAAGATCATAATCAGACCGTTCGGCCCGTACGGCGCGTAGTGCGCCGTGGCGCCGACAAGAGTGCCGTAGTCGGAGTAGGGCACGCTATCCGAGTTGTTCGTCCACGCCGTGTCCGTCGCCGTGTAATTGAACTGCAAAAAGCCCGGCACGGGGCCGTTGGGGTTCGGGTCGGACCCGGAATCGGAGAAGCCGCCAAAGTAGAACCCAGAGTCCTTGGTGCTGACGAAGGCGCCGCCCTGCGAGCGGGTGAGGGCCGTGAAGGCGGTGTTGCCGTGCGGGAGGACGGTGCCCCATTGGCCGCCGCCGCTGCCGTCCGGGGTGAAGTGCCAGAGTTTCGCGTCTGGGATTTTGGCGCCGTAGGAGGTGAAGCCGCCCCAGATGTAAAAGGAGTCGGACGAGTTGTCGGTGAAGATGGCCTGCCTCATCATTTTGGGAGCCGATTTGGAGGTCTCCTTGATTTCCACGTCCTCTGGCGTCCATGATTTGGTGAGGTCGATTGAGAGCGTCGTGTTTGTCGGGTTGGAGGGCCGCCATTGTGACTGGGGACTCAACCCGCCGATGACCTGTGAAACTTCACCTCCATCGTAATAGACCCAATTTCCAATGACCGACGCTGGGTGTTCGTTAGTGATGCCCTGTGTGTCTTGAGAGAGCACATAAGGCCGAAGCTTACCTCGAGCAAAGACTCTTCTGCGAAAGTTGTTGACTGAGGGGACATCCACTTGTGCGCTACAGATACAAGAAAGCTGTCCAACGGCGAGGAACGCCGCCAGCCATGATCGCGATACCATGATGGCTATGATCGAAGAATTCGCTGTGAATGTGAACGTCGCGATGATCCTCGGTGTTGTCCCGCGATCGACTCGCCGCTTCTCAACCTGGTCGATGCGCGCAGACTACGGCGTGTAATGAAGGTCGCCGCCCTGAGGAGTGAGTATCCGTGCCACAAACGAGAGAAAATCCTTCAGACGCGAGATCAACTCATCCCCCAAGTGACGATCACGGACGAAAGTCGAGAGAAAGAAAGATGATTAGAGACGAAAGTGTGGCGCGAGCGGGAAGGAGCGCGAGAAGAACATGTCCCAATTGTCTCGATGCTTTTCTGCAAGACAAGGGAGGGTAGCATTGGGACCAGACACCTGATATCCGTAGGATTCGGGGATCCGCTCGAGGTGACGGGATTGATTATTGCCCTTCCATACCCCTGATCCTCCAGTCAATCTCGACTCTCTTGAGTGGTGAACGGGTGAACCCCAGTGGCCCGGCCCCCCTCCAAGTTGCTGATCCATCATCCCCGTACACCGAATTATGGGGGTTTCAACTGGTAGTCTGGTATTCGGCACGGGAAAAATTGGGCTGATTTGGTGCGAATAGGTGCGACACTGGGCAGTCTGTCGCACTCGTCCTTGGCACCCACACTGCCACGGGGCGGCGTCGAGCATTAGTGCTTACCTGGGACCGCTGGCAACGTGGCTGTCATTGGCAGATGCCTGCTGGGGTTCGTTATTCCAGGGAAATTTGGGAGTCCACCAGGGTCACAATCCCACTTCCGATTGCCTCTGTGCCTTCAGCCTTGCCAGGAGGAATGCACGCCTCTCCCGCTGAGTGCTGCGCCCATGGCTCACTGCCGCGAAGGCGACAGTGTTGGGTACTTGCGTCATGGATATTGAGCGGTCGGCAGTGGTGATTTTGAGACATAGGTAGAGAGAGAAGACAATGTTCCAGATCGTATGGCGGTGGGCGAGAGAGACATAGACGTAGAATCGTCAGCCACCAAGCCAATTAGCTGGTAGAGTTTGGAAAAGCTATGGTGAAGATAAAATTCATGTGCCTTTAGACTGATACAAGAAACCCAATGTTGGCAATGATGGATTTGCATTGACTATTGCCGAGCGAGGACGGATATAAACGTTGTAATCGCTGGCTTAATCTAAGCGCGCTGTGTCGAATCGTATTCCACATCAAGTTAGTGCGTCCAGGCAACGAGTGTAGGCATTGCCGGCATCCGTCGACCTGACCTGCAGCAGCGCGTCGTCAGCCTTCTTCAGTGAACAGTTCCACCTGGATATTCGTACATTGTCCCCAGTGACTACAAACCCACTTGGATAGAAAACATTGAACATGGTCGTAGTCCGAGGATGATGTTGCAAGAAAAGCTTCGTCTCCAGGCAGCACTTTAGCTTCGGAAAGCACAGGCCATACAGAGGGGAACCCTTCCTCTCAGGTTGGAGTGGGACGAACCTCTCCAGTCTCCACCAAAACTACAGGTCTCTTCCGCCAGTGGGGCAGAAACTCGGAGCAACGCCGTCCGACCCTCCGTCCCTGGCATCAGACATTGTCCAGTACCATGGGGCGTATCCCCGGGCCGAGAGTCCCGTGCGTCCCGGAGCTAGGACGTCATGACAAACCAAACAATTTTCCCATTCCACATCCTGGGCGCGGGCGTGTCCGAATAACCGCACAGCGAGCTCGGTCGCCGATTGAGTCAACGTATCACTTAACTCCCTTGTATTTTTCTTTCCCCGATATATTTTCTTTGCTGGTATTGAAGCATCTCTAGCTCGAAAGAGCACCCAACCTGCAACGATGAACACCGCAACCCGCAACGCGACGCTCATAGCGCGCAAGCAGCTGTCCGCCGCATCCTTCGTCTGCCGCACCTGCCGCCAACAACAACAGCGCCGACAATACTCGAGTACCAACCCGACAACTCCACCCCCAGCGCCCCCCTCCGCCGGCTACGCCGCCCTCCCCTCGCGCCGCCTCATCTCCGTAGCCGGCGCCGACGCCGCCAAGTTCCTCCAGGGCGTCATCACGGGCAACATCGCCTCCGAGGCCGCCCGCGCGCGAAAGACGGGCTTCTACGCCGCCTTCCTCAACGCCACGGGCCGCGTCCTGCACGACGTGTTCATATACCCAGACCTCGCGGGCCTCGCCGGCGGCGCGGCGGCGGCAGAGTCGGAACAGGCCGGTACGCGGTTCCTCATCGAGGTGGACGCCAACGAGGCGGAGAGGCTGGCGAAGCACATTAAGCGGTACAAGCTGCGCGCCAAGCTCACTGTGCGGCTGCTCGCGGCGGACGAGGCGACGGTGTGGCATGCCTGGAACGACAACAGCGCGAAACCGATTACGGCGGACACTGCGCTGCTAGACACAATTACCAAGGATCCTCGGACGCCTGGGTTGGGATACCGCGTGGTGCAGGGCGGGGACGCGGCCGCGGCACCGCCTGGGCTGGCACTGGATCTGGACGTCACGACGGAGGACAGCTACACCATCAGGCGGTACCTGCAGGGCGTCGCCGAGGGCCAGGACGAGGTCATCCGTGAGCACGCGCTGCCGCAGGAGACGAATATGGACTACATGAACGGGATCGACTATCACAAGGGATGCTACGTCGGGCAGGAGCTCACGATCCGGACCAAGCACCGCGGCGTGGTGCGCAAACGGATCCTGCCGTGCATGATTTACGACGTGGACAGGGCGGCGCCCCAGACGCTGCAGTACCGACCAGAGGCGGCAGACCAGGACGCGGCGAATCGCGGGCCCGGGGCCGGTCTGCCCGCGGAATCGATCCCGCGCGAGACGAGCATCGGGAGGTCTGGCAAGAAGGGGCGGAGCGCGGGCAAGTGGCTCAAGGGCATTGGGAACGTCGGCCTGGGCCTATGCCGGCTGGAGATCATGACGGACGTCGTCTTACCTGGCGAGACGGCCGCGTCCACCTTTGACCCCGCCAACGAGTTCTTGCTGAAGTGGGGCGAGGGCGAGGGGGACGGTGAGCAGAGCAACGCAGTGAAGATCAAGGCATTCGTGCCCGAGTGGTTGAGGAACGGGTTGAACGAGGCATCTGGGTAACTGAAAAGTCAGTGCCGCTCGTATTGTAAAGTAGAATGTAAAAAAGGGGTATAATCGCGTAGTTGAATCGCCGCGGCCTCGTCCGCCATCATCTCCTCCACCACCAAACGCAAGCCGAATCCATCCTCAGCCTGTCTAGACTTTATTCCTCGGATCGAGAGCCTGAACAGTCTCGTATTTTTGTTTGACCTCTTCCTCAGTCGCCTGACCTGCCTCGGCAGCTTTTCTCGCTTCTTTGAGTCTTTGGGCTGCAATCATTCGTGCCTTGAGATCCTCCCATTTAGGAGGTGCTGCTGAGGCCGGCTTCGGTGCTGGTTCTGGTGTCTTCGCTGCTGCAGGCGTGTTTGCATCGGCAGCAGCATCACCCACCACGCCGCCCTTCTTCCTCGCCTTCTTCTCGGCCTTGAGTCGCCTCTTCTCGTCCAGCCGTTGTTGCAGCTCAGCCAGCTTCTCATCGTATTCATCAGGCTCCCTCTCCCTCTCCAACCGCTCGAGGTTCTCCCGCTTGAACCTCTCCGACTCCTCCGCCATGCGCCGGCGCCCTTCTTCCGCGAGCCGCGCCCTCTCCCGCTCCAGCTCGCGCGCCTTTTCCTGCTCCGCGAGCTTCTGCCTCTTTCCCTCCTGTTCCGCGGCCTCGAGCTCGTCAATGAGGCGCTTCCGCTGGCCCTGGACGCGGTCGCGCTCGGCCTTGCGCAGGAGGACGGCCTTGCGGGCGTTGTCGTATGCGGCGCGGGCGGCGGCGTCGAGCAGGATGTCGCGGGCCGTCTCGATGAGCTCCCATTTCTCGGGGTCAAAGGCGTCCTTGAGCTTGTCCGGGTGGTAGTTGAGCGACTGCTTGCGCCACGCGCGGCGGACGTCCTTTTCCTCGGTGACGGTGCTGTCGATCTGCAGCAGGTCGTAGAGGTCCACGTTGTTGGACGAGTACTCCTTTGCTTTGGCGAGGAGGTCTTTGTTGTTGTCCATTTTCGGCGGGATGTCGTGCTGGTTTCGCTGACGTGTATGGGATTCTGGTGGTGGGATGCGAGTGGCAAGTTGGAGTTTTGCATGTGGTTCCTTGAGGCTGCTTCCAGGGTTCTCCGTCAGCTCGCGCGCGTGGAGAATGGTGGCACTGGGTGGACGTCGGGGAAAGTGGGGACGCGCTTTTACGCCCGTACTCCAACTTTCATTCTTCTCAACTCCAACCACCACAGAACCATCGTCGGTCACCTTTCTCTGTCTTTGTCATTTCTCCTCCATTGGGATCCCTTTTCGCCGATCTCGCCGCTTTCGCCTTCAGAGTGCCCGTCATTCAGCCTCATTATTCTTATTGTAAAGAGATGGCAGGAAGAATGCCACTATAAGGCCTGGAATGGCAAGCAAGGTAGAAGCAACAGCCACAAACCATCACCTAGTAACGGCAGCCAAAGAGATAGTGCGCCCGCAATGATCTTATTTCGATATGTCCGACTACCCTCGCGTTTCAGCCAACCAAATTGTGAAGAGAACACTTGCTACCGGCTTTCTGGATCTACAAATCCGATTCTAATCTTTTTCCGTCATTAAGAATATCCCATCCTTCTTCCAGGTTCCTGGGTCGAGTTGTCCATGAAGACGACAAACGGCTAGCTAGCAGGCGTCGCGCGTGGCTTGCTCGACTTTACGTCCGTACACACAAATGTTGCCGTTGCTTGGCGGCCATTCGGATATTGATACCACATGGCATTCTCAACCGTTCTGCAAGGATTCGACAGGGACAGAATACTCAATCTCTAGACTATCACCTCGCACTTTGCTTGCTGGTCAGGGACCCTAACTTGTGGTCCGTTGCACATCTGCTTAGAGTGTCTCTGCTCGTGCAAAGGAGCATCGCACTCTAATACAGGGCTCAGGAGCACACCCATCCAGTATTATGCCTTGCGTACCATACCCACGTGGCTACATATATGACCTCACCAAGGCAAGCGAGTAAGCAGAAGAGGGCATCGAATGGGCACAAGTGTGAACCCATCTTCCACTGCCTGCTCTCTATCCTGTGAGCAAATTTCCGACTTGGACTGCTCCAAAGAGTCCACATGAATCTTGGTTTGTGGCGTTCGTATGCTGAATGCCCTAGCCTTTGTTTCCTCCCACGAGTTCAACCTCCAAGACCTAACCAAAAGCATACAATATGCATTGTCCGAGCTGATTACTTAGGAAGGGTTGAGCGAACTACGGATAGCTAACTCGAACTGTCTTGGGGAACCAAGATTTCAACCGAACCTCTTCCACCCAATCTTGTCGGCTATCGTGGTCAGTGCCAGACGATAGAATAGACTCTTCCCAGGAGCTGTTCTCGCTGAGGCTGGACCGCTTACAGCCAGAGAGTAGCTCATGCGGCTAGCCTCGAGGTTCTCAATCGTTCCACCGCTCTCCATGGCTTTATCGAGAGCGATAGGCTCGCTTGGGCGGTAGTGCACCTCTTCATCAGCCCATTCGAGAGAACGTTCAGCTCGAACTATGCGCCCGTTCGTGTCGAACTTGAGTCCACCTACGTCTCTCTATACTCTCAAGTATGTCGAAAAGACATTGTAGATGCGGTCATAGTCGTCTTTGAGGCTATAGTGGACCTCCTACCACAAAGTGTATGGGCTCGTCGGCTTCGGAGCAGTCACCGCAGCGTCACAACAGGTGAAAATCCTGGTTTCAGAACTTCTGTTCAACGCCACGTCTCAAGTTGAGACAGATTGACGCTGACATTCCCGCCTGCCAAGGAATGGCGGCGGATGACGGGCAACATGAGGGTGAGAGAGCTCTCTCCCTTTACCCTGTCCGGTCTGGTCCTGGATGTGATGGCAGCCGTTGGGCCGACAATGCGTTTGGCCGACATGAATAAGCGCACACCACGGTTCCAAGTCCCTGGATGGATTCGATGAGACCGATTGAATGGGTGTCTAACCCTGAAGCTGGCGAACCTACATGCGGTTGACCGCCACTGATGGAGTGTTTTTCCTGCGAATTTGCAGTCCTCAACTAGAGACGTTGCATCACCGACGAAGCTGGGAAGGGCGGCGCAAAGTCAGATTGCGGACTACCTGAACCTTGGACCCGGGTTGTCAAAGAAATCGGGTGGACGCTAGGACATCGGGGAGCAAGCATGCTCCGACTGAGCGCCGGAAGAGGTTAACCACTGCCGAAAAAAACGCCGGCCGGAAGCGGCTACGACGTTTCCGGACGGATGCCACATGGCTCAACGAGACGCCGACAGCTTGGGTCCTGTCGGCACTATGCCATTCAGACGGTCGACGGATTCGATCTGTAACAGAATGTCTCGAAACATCGCCGGACTTGGTATAACCGCTGAAGAAATTTTACGCCCACGTCGACAGGTCATTGGTTGACGGACGATATTCTTGCCCGAGTCGCCCGATGCCACAAATTCTGTGCTGCAATTCTCACCTGCCATCCACTCTTCGTCCACTTCGACTATGCCTACTTCGAGACTCGGTCGTCGTCCACCACTGCCACAAGTCTGGAATGTCTGCAGCCTCCAGGGTGCCTTCCGCATCATGCTAAACACCCCCTCTCCGTCAGGCTGGCTCGTCCTTTCCATGCAGCTCGAGCTGACAGATTCCTCTGCCACCGATCGCCCGGCTTGGCGGACCCTAGCAGCTAGCCTACTTACCTTGTAGACAGCTGTTTCCACCAGAAGGTTCCCTTGAGGCCCAGCTCGCTCTCGGTATCAGTGCCAGAAATCCACCACCTCCGATCGCCGACCTAAACCAAACACTCGGTAGCGCACGCCACCGCCTGAGAGGCGCGATGAACTCATCGTCCTTCCTCCTCGGAACTTTGACTCTTCCCAGTCGAATGGTTCCAACGGGACAGAACTTTCCCCCTTTCTGCACGTTGTGTCTCACGGGAGAACCCCACGCCGTGTCTAATTCCGGCCATCTTCTGCCTTACCTGGTATTTTCAGCTAGTATCGTACCTTACACCCCTCGGTCCCGCTGGTTCAGGAGTGCACATCTTGGCTAGCCCGGAAAACATGCTTCTTTCCAAGCCATCGTCCGCGACTCCTCGTCTCCTCATCTTCATATAAGTCCTTCTTCGTTTCCTCTGCCTGGGAAGTTTCATTTGCAAGATACGCACTCAAACGAACATCGAGGAAACAACCCCAACAAACGCACAACGAAAGCCCAGCCACTAGTCCTGGAGACATTGGTGAAACGACTCCAAGGTCTTGCAACGTGTAGATGCCACTTCATACTCTAAAAACGACCACATAGCGACTTGTTCAACTTGATAGACCGGCTCTCTCATATTCAACTATCATGTCTCCCACCCAAATCATGACTAGGCCCTGCCGTTCGCCATTCCAGATGGACGGAACAACAGAGACGTACTTTATGAGGTACCCTGGATCAGGTCAGCATGAACTCAACCAAACGAGCAACAGACATTCCCACCAGTACTCTAACACCAAGTCCAGGTGATTCCCCATCGACTCCCGCCGCAGAGCCGCTGCCCACAAAGGAACAGCTCCTCGAGCTCTGCGACTCAGTACGGACCTCCCTCCGCCACTCAAAGAGCCTCGGCCCCCATGCAGACCGGATCCAAAGCCTCCTGGAGAGGGCCCTCAAGGACGAGCTGAACCACACCCAATCTCTCGACTTCGAGACCCTCCAGTACGCCCGCCTAGACAAGCTCCTCACCGACGTCCTCGATCCGGCCCACCGGCCCAGCCCGCTCCCGCTCCGCTTCCGCGCCGACATGGCGCTGTGCGAGAGCCTGCAAAAGATGTGGCGCGCCCGCTTCCGCGACCAGTACTTCTCCCTCGACCAGGTCCGCCAGCGCAGCCTGTCCATCGGCGGCGAGATGCGCGACATCCAATTCACCGCGTCCGGCATGGACCCCCTCGAGTCCTGGGCCGTCAGCAACAGCTGCCGCGACCCCATCTCGGAACTGGAGGGAAACCAGCAGTTCGAGCCCGGCCAGTAAGTTCCCTTCCACCACCATATCACTTTTCAAACTATCTGCTAACATCGTTAAAGCTGGTGGCTGAACCTCGCCTGCGCCCACCGCGACGGCGTCATCGGCACAGCCGTAGAGAAACCCACAAAGGGCAAATACGGCGTCACCGCCTTGCCCCTCCTCACCGGACGCGAGGAGCACATCCGCGGCACCCTCTACCGCTACGTCCGCGAGGGCCGGCTCTCCGACATGCACGTCTCCCTCCTCACCCGCGTCGGCACCCAGATCCGCATCCTCCGCGGCTACCGCCTCAAGAGCGCGCTCGCGCCCCAGGCCGGCGTGCGCTACGACGGCCTGTACACGATCCGCCAGTACGGCAACAAGCTCGACGCCGCCACGGACAAGTACCGCCTCGAGCTCCTCCTCGAGCGCGTCGACGGCCAAAAGAGCCTCGACGAGGTCCGGCAGGTTCCCCTCCCCTCCCAGCTGGACGACTGGCACGCCTTTAAGAAGGTCGAGGCCGAGATGGTGCGCCAGCGCAAGGGCGACGACGGACTCCTCGACTTCAAGATGCGCAAGGAGGAGGAGCGCATCGATCGCGAGCACTGGCGGCGCGCGAGCGAGTTCAAGGCCTCGCTGGGAGCAGAGGGCTGCGGGCTGGGGTTGATCATGCCTGTTTGAGTTCGAGACACTTACTGAACCCTGGGCAGTGACTGCAAGCAGAGGGAGGAGAAGGGAAAAAGAAGAGACGAAAAATTGGCGGTCCGAAAGGGACACACTTTCCAGGATGATTCGCAGAGATACCCTGTACTACCTAGTCTACCTGTACCACTACCTTACGAATAATGATAATGCATGACGATTAAGAGCATAGTGTTTCCGATTGACCTATCGCGTTGCCTTTTGCAGTCTGGCAACTGCGCAAAAATTTACCAGTGCCTCCGCAACTACGCAGCACTTGTCACCAAAACATACATCCCTTCTTACTGCGTTTTACTCAAAGGCCTGGAATCCGAGCCACTGGATGTGGGAGTAAACATGTCCTATTGATATCTAAGAAGCCTTACTTTGCCGTAGCCTGGGTAAGCCAGTGGGCATAAAACTATGGACAAGAAGAAAATTATCGCGCTTACACAGCGCAGTCCTAGTCCGTTGCGAAACGGTCAGTGAATCTAAATGTCGCCAAGCCCTCCTTGAAGCTGTTCACTACGGTGTTAACATCGGCAGCAGAGTACACGCCCTCGCCAGCCTTGACGCCGAGCGTTGCCGACTTGGCGAGAGCCGAACTAACGCTGCCCACCGGCTTTCCCCACCTGTAAGAGTCGATGACAAGCTGTGCAGGTCTACCGGCTGGGTACAACGGAGACGGCTTGATATTGCCATTAAAGAGGCCGTCAGCACCGCGGGCCACAATGACACCGTCGAATGACGTGGCATCAGCCTGAGCGTACGTCATGTCGACACCGTCAGTCAGCTTCTCGGCGATGACAGTCACCAAGACACCATCAGCGGCGAAAGCATCCTTCAACTCCTTGCCTTGGCTTACGGAGCCATTAGCTGATAGGCTGGCAAGGACACCGACCTTCAGAGTCGCGATCGAGGGCAGCTTGTTTCCAAATATGGATAGCCCCTGAGTAGTCTTGTTGTGGTAGTACTGAGCATCGGGCTGCAGATGTTCCATGCCTAGTGCATCGGCGACACGGTTGGCAATGTCGTTGCTGATTTTGTTCAGCTGAGTGAGAACGTTCTGCTTGACCTCGGTGGATTCAAGGTGGCTGGTTTCAAAGCGGATGGCGTTGATGAGGAACTGCTGCTCGATAGGGGTCAGGGAGTTGTAGAAGAGGCGCGGCTGAGACCAGTGATCCGAGAAGCTGTCGGAGATTTCGCGGACCAGGTGGCCATTGTTGGTGCGACCAGGCGCGGTGAAGAAGCCGTTGCCCTGAGTCTGGTTGGCTTGCTTGGGGAAGCCCTTGTTGAGAGTGTTCGGGGTGTCTGATATTTCAATTAGTCAGAGGGTCGATAAACATATCGAGATCACTTACAGGAGTTGCGGTTGCGGTGGATGAAGTTCTGGCCAGCACCATCTCGATTGTTGTTGTGAATGGGGCCAATTGGACGGTTGATGGGCAACTGTTCAAAGTTGGGTCCGCCGTGGCGGTTGATCTGAGTATCGAGGTACGAAAAGATACGGCCCTGCAGAAGAGGATCTTCTGTGAAGTCGATGCCTCTGACGATGTGTCCAGGTTGGAACTGAGACGAGTTAGCTGTGCTCGAACAGTTTGACTGAGAAACTCACCATGATCTGTTCGGTCTCGGCAAAGTAGTTGACCGGATTGGCATCCAGCTTCATCTTGCCGAGCTTTTGGAGGGGCGCAATCTCCTCAGGGATGATCTTTGTTGGGTCCAAGAGATCAAATCCAAACTTGAGGGTATCCTCTTCGTCGACAACTTGTACGCAGAGCTCCCATTCAGGTCCGTTCCCAGACTCAATCGCATCCCAGAGGTCCTGACGGTGATAGTCGGCATTCTTGCCTGAAACGATCTGGGCTTCCTCCCAGACCAAGCTGGCCTTGCCCTGTTGTGTCTTCCAGTGCCACTTGATAAGCTTTGACTTGCCGTCGTCCGTGACCGCGCGGAAAGTGTGCACACCAAAGCCATCCTAGAAGTGTTAGTCAATGTTCGACGACAATTGAAACGCAACTCTACTCACCATGTGTCGGTAACTTCTCGGGATACCGTAGCCAGCCATAGCCCAGAACAAGGTGTGAAGAGTGGTCGTCTGAGAGCTGAAGAAGTCCCATGCGGAATCATGGGCTGTCGCAGCTTGCGGGATCTCATTGTCCCCGCGAGGTTTTCTGCGAGAGTCATGGTATTAGTACTTGAGACGCTACATTTTGGAAAGGCTACAGCAAGTCTTACACAGCATGAATCAAGTCTGGGAACTAGGCAACGTCAGCTTGTGGTACTCGTCGTAGAATCAAGAGCTCTGAGTTCAGTTTGTGATGGAGCTCGCTTGAAAGGTATGATTGACGTACCTGAATCGCGTCTTGGATGAAGAACACCGGAATGTTGTTTCCCACAATATCAAAGTTGCCCTCGTCAGTGAAGAACCGAGTGGCGAAGCCGTGGACATCTCTGGCAGTATCCGCACTTCCCCTTGACCCAGCAACGGTAGAGAACCGCACAAACGTCGACGTTTGCTTCCCCGTCGCGCCCAAGAAGGAAGCGGCCGTGAGGTTGCTGTAGTCGCCATAGCTCGTAAAGGTTCCGTAGGCACCGGCGCCGCGGGCGTGGACAGCTCGTTCGGGTACCTAAACAGGAATGGTCAGTCAGGAGATACCAATTGGAGCTAGATAGATATCAGACTCACCCTCTCGTGGTCGAAATGTGTAATCTTTTGGCGAAAGATGAAATCTTCCAACAGAGTCGAGCCACGGACGCCGGCCTTCAAGCTGACTTGGTCCTCGATTGGGCCGCCAACGTCGGATGTGAGGTATGGATCGCCCGTAGAGTCGTCGATCTCGTAGCCGGAGACATGGCCGCGAGAGCCATCTTCGGCTCGAGCTTTGATATTGGCGGGGTCTGCAAAGGGACAACCGGCAGAAGAGAGGGTAGCAAGGCCGAGACTGGCCAGCAGGAGGGTGGTATGCATGTTGTATCAGTGATCAGAAAGATGTCTGTATGCCTGCATGAAATGCTCCCTCGGTCGATGATCAAAGATTAAGTAGGCTAAACAAGCACTTCTTATTCTCGGAGGGTTAAAGAAAGGGGACAGCCGTTGGAAGAAAAAAAAGTCAACAGTGCCGAGGGACGGTAGGCCACTTAAGGGCTCCAGAGGCTTGGGTTGACAGACGGAGCTCTGTCTGAGCTACCCATGGATCCTACAGAATAACAGCAGCAAGGGGAAGGCAGGGAGCTCGATGAAGTCAACAAGAAAATCCCGATCTGGGAGGAGAAAGACCACTGGTCGGCGCACAAGCTTCAAGGATTAGCTACTGCTCCTGCTAATCCTGGACACAAGAAGGTAACCATGGCAGGAGAACATCTTTTCCAGAACGGACCGGGGAAAGTAGACTAGTTACGCTTGCCCAGAACAAATCCACATCCACATCCCGAGCAGCAGCAGCAACAGCAGCAGGAGGAGGAGCAGGTGAGCACGACGCGCTGCTGCTTCTTCCAAATAGGTGTGCCGGGACGTCAGGTAGGATGAGGAGTGATAGCATCATAATCATCTCAGGTGCTTTCTCCACTACACTAAAGAGAGGGGCCACAGTGAAGAGAAGAGGAGGGGCTTGCTACCAGCGCTGTCAGATTAGAAATCCTCTGGTGTGATTCAATGGAGAAGCGCCCACGGTCCCGGGAGCTCTGATGTTGCGTGCTGGTAGCTTGCCTTGGCCTGCATTTGTGTCTCACGGCCGAGGCCGACAAAACGTTGACGGCGTACGGTACCACTAGATGTGCATTATGAGCCAGCCACGCTGCTGGCTAAGACATTTGGGAACACTCTTTCCCGCTGGGCTCTCCTTTCTTCCAAACGACGAGTTTCTTCTTCTCATACGGTGGGGGCCGAGCAGTATGTTCACTGGAAACATTGGAGGAGAAAAGGGAACAGAAAACTTCAATACCGAGCGCCGTTTGCTCCGCTTGGAATGCCTGCCGTATTTTTCTTTCCTTTCTTTCTTTTCCCACGTGCTGACACCTTACAAAACAAGGTTACATCTAGACGACATGGGCCAAGGGGGTGATCCAAAGAGGGCCAGAGCTCGATGGCGCACAAACGGCCCACGGGAAACAAACGTGGTTGGCGAGGAACGGCACGGCAGTTGGGGGCGGCGGCGGGCTCCAAGATCACTAGCGAAGCGAGCCCTGGGCGGGAAAAGCAGATGTGGCTTGCGGAAGATCGAAAGAAAAGAAGCCACTTGGGCTAGCGATGGATGCCATCGTCCCAAGTCTGTGCAAGCCCGTGCTTCATTAAAGGGTTTGGTGGTTCGTTTCTTCAAATAGTCTTCTTGGTTCTGTAGCCTTGTACAATGGAAACGAGGAAGCCTTCATGTTGTGGTGATTCTTGTGCAACGTTGGAGAGACGAGAGCCGAAATTCCAAAATAGCCCCAATAATCTTTTGCGGTATTTCGGGTACAGGGAGAGAGATAAACCACAAGAACTGGGAAATGGTAACAGGAAAGGGAGTTTCGCGGCGAGGGAAAAAAGAGTTGCCAGTCCACTTTCATCTCATCTATGACGACAGCTGAGGCGGGCAGGTTCAATTTGAATTGATAGACCAGGGTTTGTTGTTGTTGAGATGAACTACCTACAGTAGCTCCGGATTACCCATGTCGAAACAAAGTCTTTGTCCTGCAGTCTAAAAAAGAGGTCGGCTGTAACTTGTGACGAAAAAAAGGGCTTTGCGTATCCGTGGCACATCTCCCGATCTCTAAGGAATGAGAGAGACACGAATGGGATCAAAAGGAGCTCATCCGGATGTAGTACGAATCCCCGGCGCTGTGATGGAAGAGGAAAAGAGGCGGAGAGCTGTGTGTGAGGACGAGATTGAGGTTGAGGCGCGGGTGTGAATGTGAGTGTGAGGTTCGAGAATGCCGAGCCATCATCGTCATCGGGCGGGCCCTCGTGTGGGGCCGTGCTTCGCTGATCACTCGGGAAGAAACAACACCAGCAGCCTCTCACGCGTCTGTAATACAAATCACCTCAGTCGCCAAGCGAGGTCGGTCGGCATGGGTGCGGGTTAGTGGGTTACAGCGCAGCCCGCCATATGTCTCTCGATCACATCTTTCTCTTCACCTTCCCAGCGAGTAAGGTGAGTTCTGCGGGCTTCCGGGCTTGAGGCTCATTCACCTGGGTCCTGATGCAGGCGGACAGGCTCAGTGTGCGCCAGAAACGTACATTCTTTTGCACGGAGCCTTCCTCTTTATTCCAGTGCATCTCCGGGAGAAATGAGACGATTACTTTCCAGGACCCTTTCCGCTGCCATATCAAGACGAGACGATTCGGCACTTGTCGGCGAGGCGGAAGCGAGTGCGGGAAGATCAGACACAGGAGGTCTGCATGGGTTGCTTTGTGCGACAAAGGGAAGCAAATCGCTCATCTCTCAGACTTTTAAATCCTGTGTACTATCCAAAGCCATGATTTGTTGTTCATGGAGCAGAAATCCTCCCGGAGCCAATCCCGAGGTCCCCCGCCCGCTCTCCGTCATCTGTTCATCATGAGGGAAAGCTGTCCGTCCAATAATCGGGAAATCGGGTATTCAGCTAGCATGACACTCTCCATGGCTGGCAAAACTAGAACAGAACGAAAGCACAAAGTCCAAAAGTCTGGACAAAGAGATGAATCCTTGAAACGTGCCCTGTCCGGGTACAGGGGAGCCGCTGCAGGCTATCCGGAGGTATGTCCGGCTCGGAGCCGGGGTGTATCGATGGGGGGTTATCGATGTGGACTCCAAAAAGCACGTAACATGGCACGCGACGGTAACACCTTCTCTTATTGACTACTATATCTCTCATCTTGCTCAGAGCTTCCTCCTCTGACGACACGCAGTAAGGGTCCATTCTGTCCTACCAATTACCGTGGGATGTGAAATGTCTCGGCACCGTGATGGGCAGTTGGCTTTGCTCTCATCTCATTCTGCATCAGGCGCTTTCCACATTCCCCGCTGATAGCATTGAGTTTTCTGAAATTGACCTGGCCTTTTCACACTGCATATATGCACACCGCGTGCGTGTGTGTTTCCCTCATGCATCACTATTTACAGCCCTGCCATGCTATCCTCATAAGCAGGGTAGAAGTTAAAGATTCAATCAGCCTATCTAAAAATAAAAATAAAAATTGACCATCACTGAATTCACAGGCAAAGCCGAGGCCCTACAGTGTTGGGGTTTCTTCTTCTGTGAAAGAGAAACAACATGATCTTCGTAGCGTTGCAACTAGATGCAGATTCTACCAAACACCAGGCCTCAGTCGTTTCGAAGTCATACAAGGAACGCAATTCGCTAGGTGAGAGACAGGTTGGATAATTAGGTAGGTACAGTGTACAACCGTTAAGCAGCCGTTTAGCCACGATTCCCACAAGGCCGGTTCACTTCGTGGTTTGTCGGGAGGAGCCTGCTCCATTGCCCTACCGAACCGACGGCCGGATTCCCGAGGCGTGTGGATCTGGTATCTGTCAAGTAGAACGGAACCTGCATGGTGATTTCAAATCATGGAGAATCAAGCTGGGCCCTCTCCCGTGCCTCTTCAAAATCGTACCGTTGATCAAAGTAATCGAGACGTTTGCATTGGTCGACAAAGTCCACCAGATCGATCTGATATTGAGCCCAAGCCGAGATCGGGGACAGCAAGCCAGTTGTCTCACATTCTTTTCTTTTAGCTTCAACGGTTGCGAGACCGTCGCTCTCTCCACTCATGGAAGTTCGTGAGAACGCTTCGAGACCAACAGAGAAAACGGATCTTCTCGGACTTTTCCTTTTTCGCAAGCAAACTGTCACGGGGCATGCCCCTTTTGACAGAGGTGTAGCTATGCGAGCTCGCCATACTTGAGCCATCGCACACGGTCATCGAGGTTGAGACTTCAGCTTCTCGAGCTTTTAGAGCTTCAAGTTGAGAAGCACAACGAAACACTACTAAACGCAGATATCGTGTTGCGGAAAAGACGCGCATGCATACACTACTAAACGCAGATATCGTGTTGCGGAAAAGACGCGCATGCATATTTCAATCTTAGGACAGCTCTTGCACAGCAAACATTGCACATATTGAATTGACACATGAGAACTGGCTCGTATTGGTGGGGTCTTGGTTGAAGTTCATTGCTTTTGGTGTAAATGAGATCCTAGCTCAATGGCATCCTCTGGTATCGGCCATGGCTAACCCAAGTTGTTCCCCCAAACGCCAAATGTCCCACGCCCCTTGATTTTTTTTATTCTTCCATCAAAACTTTTGGATTTCCCAACGCTTAGTAGAAGAAGCCGATGACCTTGCCGGCAACGTGCTTGCGACGGGCCTCCTCGTGGTCCATGATACCAGCAGAGGTGGTGAGGATGACGTAGCCGAACTGACGGGCAGGAAGCAGCTTGACAACCCACTTCTCGAGGTCGGAGAGACGGACGTTGTAGCGGGGGGAGATGACACCGCACTTGTTGAGGCGGCCGTTGAGCTGGACAACGATCTTGCCGGAGCGGTGGTCATCGACCTCCTCGAAAGACGAAATGTAACCTGTATTGTTGCTGTTTAGCGATGGTGTCGCGGTGGTTTAAAGCTTAGACATCAGGAGAAAAATATCCGAAAAAGTTGTAAGACCTCCGCTATTTATCTATCGGCATCTTATAGGGGCTGAGTCGTGGGAATGAAAGACGGTCGCCCTAGTTATCATGCCGAATGTACATCCATCCATCCAAAATGTCCTCCGAATTGAAGAAGAGAAAGAAGAAGTAGAAAGAAGAGTGTGTTGTGTTGACATACCGTGGCGCTGCATGACCTGGAGGAACTTGACGATGACCTTGGAGCTGGGGCGGATGAGCACCTGGCGCTTGCCGGCCTTCTCGGCGTTGTTCATGCTCTTGAGAGCATCGTGGAGAACGGAAGTGCGGACCATCTTGGCGGTTGATGTATGCGGAGATTCTCAAGTCTCGGGAAATGAGGTATCTGCCAGCGAAGAAAATTGCATGTTAGCCTTCCAATGGCCTGTTGAGCGTGGAGAGTGCCCTCCCAGGCGACAATCGTCCGACAGGAGGGTTCTGCCAGCTCGTTGCTGAAGAGGAGAGCGTATCAGGTGTCATCGTCGTTCGGCGTTGGGTAGCCGCCAGCCAAGGGGCTACCGCATCGTCCGTCAAGGCGAGGATGGAGGTCGAAATAAAATAAAATCGGTATCTCGTAAATCGCACGACTCGTCTGATTGCTCTCCTCCGGCATCAAGGAAAAGGCAAGAAGTTCCTGTTGGATCAAGTCGCCATCATGGGCGCAAACAAGGTGGTTTATGCCTTGTTTCGACTTACCTCGTGGATTGAACGGTGCCGCTGAAGGGGTTGGTTGGCAAGTTTGTCGGTGAGAAGATCGTGATGGAAGACGGGGCGCAGAAAAAGTCCAAAAGGCTGTGGGAGAAATCCCCACACTGCCACGAAAAAAATTGGTCGCTTGTGGGTGCACGGACCACCCACAATTCTTAACCCTCGAAAGGGCACGGGCGAAGTGACCCTTCCACGAATGATCTTTCAGCGCATTTTCTGCTTGTGCCCTCGCATCACGCCAAAAGTTCACTTTATTCATACACTACCCAAATTACAACACAACATAACTCTTCGAGGATCGAACCGACAGGAACTTGACCAACAACATTCAGGATGGTGAGTTCGCACCGAGAACCCCTCCCCAATATGGCCCCCCTCGAATGACGGACGTCTCCCGGCTACCCGCGAATACCTTCAATTGGGATTACCCGGGTGCTTGGAAGTTGTCGCGTGCGCGCAGGCCAATTGGGCTCATCCCACTTCGTGGGGATGACGACGACGACGATGATGTCGACTTGAACCTCGGAGGGAAACACTTTGGCTAACCATTGCCCTTGCGCATCTTGTACAGTCGGACGTAGAAGAGAACAACGCCCCCGAGGTGGCCGAGGAGGTCGAGGTTTCCGCCGATGCCGGCTCCAAGGGCCAGATGTCCGTTCTTGACGCCCTCAAGGGTGTCCTGAAGCTCGCCCTCATGCACGACGGTCTTGCCCGCGGTCTCCGTGAGGCTTCCAAGGCCCTCGACCGCCGCCAGGCCCACATGTGCGTCCTCAACGAGGCTTGCGAGGAGGAGGCCTACAAGAAGCTTGTCATCGCTCTCTGCTCCGAGCACAAGATCCCCTTGATCAAGGTGCCCGACGGAAAGCAGCTCGGCGAGTGGGCTGGTCTCTGTGAGTACACCTGCGGCATAGGCTGCCATGCATTCGCAGACGAACAATGGCTAACACAGATCCACAGGCGTGTTGGACCGTGAGGGTAACGCCCGCAAGGTCGTCAACTGCTCTTGCGTCGTCGTCAAGGACTGGGGTGAAGAGTCCCAGGAGCGCTCCATCCTCCTCAACTACTTCCAGACCGAGCAGTAAATTTGGGTATGACTTCATGATTTGAATTTGGGCGTCACTATGGGGAGAAGGATTTTTAGAGGGGTGGCGGGGAAATCTGGAACCGTCGCTATGAACGATCTTTCGGTTGTACTCTAGCTTCTTCAGCTGGCATCTCGAAACAAAAAATGGAGGACTCCCTCTGGAGGTCAGGTCAACATGCATCAAGGACAAATAAAGAGAAACGGCATTGGGCACTCTTGAAACAAACAACATGTGTGCAATATTGATATTGTGAGGTGATTGATGAGAACGTAGCGGGGTATGCCTATTTCCTGCCTTCAACCTGTGTGCGCGAGTCAGTACAGGCCTGGCTTGAGCTGTAGTGTAATTGAGTCCTACCATGATGATGTGGTATCCAAACTCCGTCTTGGCCTCTCCGTAGACGGGGCTCGCCGTTGTACTGGCGCTCAGAGCAAACGCGACGTCCTCGAACTTTGGATCCAGGCTTCCCTTTGTCTTCCAGCCCAGAGCACCACCTGTGAACCAATCAGCATGGGCAGGCACTCACCCTCGATGAAGCTGCTCATGATGGGCATCACTCACCTTGCCTCGCCTTGTCCTCGGAGAACTCTCTCGCCACCTCATCAAACTTGGATCCGTCTCTCAGCTTAGCCAATGCCTCTTCCTTCTTGGCATGCTTCTCACACTGATGTTTACTGTCAGCTTCTATAGTCCTGAGGAAATTCAACAGCTAGACAAGACGATGCTTACCAAGATGTGCCGGACATTGATGGACTGCGCGCCCTTGGCCGCCTTGCCGCCCTTGTCGTCGCTCTCACCCTTGGCACCCTTCTTCCCTCCGGCAGACTTGCCCCCGTCCTTCTTGTCGGCCGGCTTCTTGTCGTTCTTGCCCATCTTGAGATAGCTGCGGGGGTGGTGTCAGGCGTGATGCGGACGATGAAATTTGGGCTGGAGGGGTTGGATAGTGGGGGAATCGACTATGGCGGCAACCCCCACCATGAAAAGACTGTCAACGGCGGCGGCGACCAATGGAGTGCGGGGAAGCCAACTTCAACACCACGTCTGATCATCCGGCAGCCTTTTAATGTCGCCCACAGTGAGATCTCCACGGCTTTTTCGTAATTATCATTGCTTGATGTTATTCGATTGAAGTTCGTATTCTTTCCTGTGCCATGATATCGATTTTGAATGACCAAAATCATGGATTGGCCGAAAGTCTCGCCGGGCACCGTCTTCTCGATACTAGCCGGCGAAAATAGCAGCTGTTAGTATCCTCAAATTTGTAACCAGAGGCATTCTTTCAGTGACGTCAATGAGTTCCTTTGAGTTCGGTACGTTGAAATGAGGTTGTCTAAGCTCAAGCTAGAGGTCAGTACTCGCCATTCCGCAGTGAGAGGCGACCGTAAGGGAACGATGCGCTATTTCAATGAGAGCGATTTGAGAGACACCATTTCCTAGTGGATTTCTACCTATCGCATTCAAAGTATGGACGGAGGCGGATCCAGGCCACGCACCAAAGTTTTCTAGGTTCGGCAACGCCTTGAACAACAGCTTAGATGACATTCTGAAAAGTCCAGTAAAAGTAAATTATTTTCTATGGGTATCTCGTATCAACACACTATTCTCTCATGGCCTCGACGGCTTGTCCAATCAATTCAAGAAAGGCACCCTCCTCGATCCGAATATCGGCCCAGTGCCATCTGTCTCGTCGGACAAGACCTCTCCTCCTGCCGTTATCATCCTCATGTCCCACCATCTCGGCATGGGTGCTGAAGTACTTGTGGCCCAACATCTGCGCCACATTTCTGAATCCTTTGTGGGACATGCTCGACGGTTGTATCTCAACGACCGCGGCGCCGTTCTCCCGTAGAAACATCGTGTGCGTCAGTCCCGCGCCGTGAACGCCTACCAGGATATCGGTGGACTGTACGATTCGAAGCTGCTCGGAGAAGGTCGCCGCTCCCAGATCGATTGCCTGGAAGTTGGCATCGGGGAACGCTTTCCGTGCTGCGTCTAGTAAGACTTCCTGGTCCAGGAGCTTGCGAGAGCCCCGTCGGTCGATGAGGGTGACGTTGAGTGGTTTGCCTTGTCGCCGCCCCGTCTCGAATCCGACGCCAAATTGCTGCATCACTCGTCGCGTAAAGACCTTCAGCAGCGGTGCGTCCTTGCAGTCTCTATCCTCCCAGTCGTTCTGCCATAGAGGGTTGCTCCCTCCGGCGAGGGGAATGATGACGTTCTGAGGCGTCTCGGCGAGGGTTTGGGCTTGTGCCGGGTCTTCCAAGACCTTGCTGAGGCGAAGCGGCTCACGACCCGCAAACATACCCCATAAGGGGTATAGAGGTCCTTCTTCTTGGTTGTCTAAGAAGACGACTTGGGTTCGTGGAACGTCCCCGGGGATCGTGAAGAAAGGTTTGTCGAGGTTGTCGCCGTCGTGACTGAGCCGCAAGACGTCGAGGGACATGACCATTGACCATATCTCCATGAGAGAGTGCCATATGTTGGAGTGACCTTCTCTCTTCACGAGGATTGTGAACGGACGGCTATCGTGGGAGCTTAGAGCCTGCGCGGCTGAGGATGGCGATGCTCCAGCTTTGACGTTGACGAAGTTCTGGAATAGGAAACCTGGACCGGTATCGTACCAGTAGTTTCTGATATTTGAGAAAGGAATGATGCCATTTGATGTTTCGTTGCCTGTAGGTTGTCGCACATCGCAGTCCACATGAAATTTACCGCTTTCGCGGTCCAGTACGGCGCCCTGGCTGATGCAAAAAGAGTCGCGATTGTCGTTGGATTGAGTATGACTATGGAAACATGTCAGATTTGCGCTTGACTCTGCCGAACAGTACTGAATCCTTTGGTCGCGGAGTTCGTTCAGATATCGAGGGCCGAAGCGTTTGGCGCAGAACTCTGACTCTGGCAAATCCGGCTTGCTCAGCGTCGCGAGTTCCGGTAGAGAAGTCGGAATCTCGTTCGTCGCCGGACTCGTTGAGTGGTGAAATGGGTATCGCAGAAATGGAAGCCCGTCGCCGGTTTGTGTAGATTGCGACGATGATACTTGAAGGTGAAGAAGGATCATGACAAGTGCTGCTGTCGCCGCTACCCCAGCCCGCTTGCTCTTCGGCACAAGACGCGAACGCATAGTCAACAGGCAAGATAATAGTCCATAGGAAGCCGGGTGCCGAAGGGTGTTCGATGGATACTTGGTACCGGTCATTGAGAATCTGAAAGAGGTCAAGAAAAGCCAAAAAGTGACGTTAGTCCAGCGAGTGGTGAGAAGGGGATGGCTTGTAGACCTGTCTACTTCTCAGTAGACAAACCAACAGAACGAACATGGCAGGAGAATGAGCTAAGCTCCTGACTGCGAGGAAGAATACTCAGAGCCCCCATGGCCCCCATTCGCATGAACAACCAGCATGCTTGGCCCCGCAAGCAAGCAAACAATGAATACTCAGGGGCGGGCGGACGACAAGAAAGGTACGCTTTTCCCGCGCGGCTATGGCAGCCGACCAGCTTTCGGTACTCCGTAGACAATATGTGTGACTTGTTTGCTCCCCACTCAAATGCGTCTTTCAAGCGTTTCTCTCCGTGCGCCTAGCCGCTGATAGCTTCTTGTTCGACGCTGTTTGCTTGTGATGCGGCCCCCGGTCACCAACAGGGGGCGGCTATGAGGTCTCTCACAAGGCTTAGAGTCGTCTTTTGTCCGTATGGGTCGTCTTGGGCCGGCGGAACATTAAGGTATGGTGCGTTGGTGAGTGATCGTCGGCCGTTCCAACAGCGAGAGTGGAGCCCTTTCGTGTTGGTGTTGCCGCCGAACAAACCAACCATGCCAACCAACATACTTTTAACATGAGCTTTTTCCGCAGATACTTTTCGATTCCCAAAGTCCTCCTGCTTTGGTTTTCTCATAAACCTTTGGGTTCTCAACTTCTCACCCAAGTCTGTCATTTCGCAGCGACCGACCAGGTTTTTCCGGACTTCTCTTTGGTTCCCTGATCAAGCTGGGAATCGCTTCGGTCTTGTACCATTTTCTTCACATCCGCCAGGCCCAATTATTGTGCGGCACAGTCCAATGATTGATAAGCTTTGGGACATTGTTTGCAGAGTAGTATCCCGCCGGATCTAGCCAGGATCTAGCCAGGATCTATGTGACATGATGTGATGAGGATATGTTAGTTACCTCTGAGGAGGCCAGGGGAGGCGCAAGCCAATGACAGGTCAGGTTTCTTTGCTGTGTATCCATAGGAGTTCTTTATATCTGAACAGTATTCGTTGGCGGAAATAGCCGGAAATCTGCAGACTTTTGAAGAGTGCCAAGCACACATTGTGCCTCCAAAATGTTCGTGCCATCGACGGAATCCAAACTCGGATTTATCAAAGCCATAAACACGAAGAAATAGTTCATCCAAGATGGTGTACATTCTCATTGCCCTGGATCTATGTAGGCCTATCATGACGTTCCTGACGGGGAAGTCCCCATCCTTCTGAGATGAAATTCCACTCAAGGTTCGAAGTTGGACTTTATTGATGACTTCAACACTGTGATTTCTGGGTTGTGAAGACCTTTGGGTTTCAACAGTACCAAATTCAGGAGCAGGGATAGGTCTACATGTACTTCAGTTTTTCTTTAAATGAGCCACAAGATGGTGTTGAACTGTGTATCTTGCTCATTGAGCCGCCGAGGAGCTTTATAGAGGCCACGAAGCTATGAGCTCGTATCTTGGACCGGGATTATCATAGGTAAGCAACAAGCAGCGATTAAAAAGTGGCAGCGCAACAAGAGCTTGGTCGCATCCCTGTTCCGAACAGCGTCTCGGAAAACTCGATGGACTCACAGCTATCTTTCGAAGTTAGCGGAGGAATTGTTCTCCCTGTTACTTACCTTCACCACCCTGGCTTGATGGAGCACTAATGAGGTCAAGTTATGGTCTGCTTGTTTCTCGCTATCGACCACCGACTCGCATAGGCGATGGAGGCTCCAGCTCCAACTGCTCATGGCTCGCTAGTTGTTCTGTTGGTTTAACCAGCATATCTAGCGACACTGGTTCGGGTAGCTTGTGCTCTTTATCCTATTACCATACGACTCGGCAATGTTTTCATTGTCAAATGGCTAGGCCGTTGAGGAATTTAAGCAGAAATTTGCTCTCATCCCGCAGAAGTATTCAACCTGAACATCAGAACTCAGTGGCCAAACGGCACACTGCTGTACGGTATCAACGGTGTTTGTACTCTTCGCGGCTCTGACAAGTGGTCCAAGGACGGCTGCACTTTCTGTCAAGGAGGTTCTTATGGTTCACTCGCATGCAAGACAAGTAAAATGACATCACACGATGCCACCCCTGAAGATGACGGGTGGCCAGACGTCAGCCCTGTCGTTGATATGATGAATCTCAACAACAATCTTACGCTCGATAACCTGGCCATGGGCATCGCGCTGAGCGATTGAGATACTCAAGGGTATTACGCCATGATGGGACTCGGTTTAGAATCTGTTTTGCATATACCTGACGAAAACTCCGTCCTCCTCTTGCGATCTAGCCTGAATATTTCACAGAACCGAATCGGTATGCTGTACGCGGCGACAACCACTACTTGGTGCTCTACGAGGTGTCTCTGCGTTTCTGATGTTTCGATTTTTAAGACCTCATCGGTCTTTGCGGTTAGGTAGTACGCGCACGGGCGTTGTGAGCGGTGTAGTGAACCCGCGGTGACAACTCAGTGAGTGTGAGGTCTGGCATTTGTAAGCTTGCTGAAACGTAGACTGGAAAAGAAAGAAAAAACAAGCCAATTCACAGCAACTTGCTAGATGGAACAATAGATTGATGTCTGATCAGGATTGGTGTATTCCTGTCTTGCAAGGCGGCCCGGGGGCTCTTGGGTTACAGGGGTCGTGATCCACGGTGAACTTGCGATTTGTCATAGATCTTCAAAACCCCCTCTTAGCCACTTTGTAAGCAAAAATGACATTTAGCTTATCAAACACAGCTGAACGATGTCAGTCCTTTCTCGGAGCCATTTTGTCCGTCCGTGTCTTAAGTTTCAGTGAATGCGGGGTCTGTGGCAGGCAGATCGTAGCACCGGAAACAGTTACCAAGTTGAGTGCAAGCTCAGCGGAAATCTTAGGGCTTCCTACGACTTGGTCATAAAAGAGCTTGTCAGAGTCCCTCCTGCCACCGATTTAAAGATAACTGATCAGACTAACCGGACTTAACGACTGAGACTTGGAATTTCAGTGTACATCAATCATTATTCACTTGACTTTAGCCATTTAACATTGGACCCAATCCAGTTGACAACCATCCCAACAAATCCCCACAAAAAGCCGCACCAACAAGACCGAAATGGCATCTGAGAAGCTTCAACCGATCAGGGTTTGGACGTCCAAGAACGGCCCGAACCCATGGAAAGTCCACTTTGTTCTCGAAGAGCTCGGGATCCCCTACGAAGAAAAGTACATTGACTTCCCCGACATGAAGAAGCCACCCTTTGAAGCTATCAACATCAATGGGCGCGTACCCGCCATCGAGGACGACAACACGGGCATCACGCTGTGGGAGTCCGGCGCCATCCTCGAGTACCTTGTCGAGACGTACGACAAGGAGAAGAGGTCAATCAGCTTCGAGCCGGGCACGGCCGACTATTTCCACGCCAAGCAGTGGCTGCACTTCCAAATGTCCGGTCAGGGCCCGTACTTTGGCCAGGCCATCTGGTTTCACCGGTACCACTCCGAAGACGTGCAGAGCGCCAAGGACCGGTACGTCAAGGAGATTCGGAGGGTTTCCTGGGTCCTGGACCGGGCTCTGGAGGGACGCGAGTTCCTGGTGGGCGACAAATACTCCTATGCGGATATTGCCTTTATCCCCTGGTTCAATGTCGCGTTCTACCCGTGGTATAATATGAAGGTTCCTGGTGCGTTTGCGGATCAGATCGATTTTGCAAAGGAGTTCCCGAACACGACCGCGTGGATGGACAGGCTCAGAGCTAAGCCTGTCATTGCGGAGACCTTGAAGAAGAGAGCTGCAACTCTGTAGAAGAAGAAAAAGCGTAGATAGTAATCCGTTACTGGAGTTAGATGAGAAAAACAAGTCAATGTTCAAGTAAGCCCGTATATGAGAGAATGCATTGTGACGTGCTGCACATTACGACATAGAGACATCTCGGCCCGAAGCCCCCACTGTTTGCGGAAGAGCCATCCGGGCCCGCCTCCGGGCCGCTTTTGTCAGCTCAAACAAGGCCGAGATCAACCCGGACAGGCGAATCTCGTTCAGATCTTTCAGCGGTTCGCTCGAGAACCCGGGCAGAACCCCGATTTCATCGCTCTCGCTTCCTCATACGCTGCGATCTCTGTGTCCGTCTCTCGTCTGCTGCAGTGGGGGAGGCGAGAGCACAACGGCCAGAAGAATGAGGTTGGCACATCCGAATCAGTAAACGTAATTGGAGAAGACGGGAGCGGGCGGGGACAAATACCGCTCGAAGCCGATTACAACCTCGATCATTGCTTCGGACTGGTATACTTGCCTTATTCGGACGAGTGGGAACAGGACAGTGAACCTGCGTTTTGGCACATGGCAAATCAGCGTCGGTGCGAAGTCGATTACTCGCGGCTCGCGTCCTCGCGTTGGAAAAAAAAGAGTGGAATTTCCGGGTCGAGTGCGACCTGCAGCTTACGCACCTTGAAGTTTGAACGCCCTACCTACGCGCAGACAGGCACGTATTGGACCAAATCTCTAAAACCGAGATCTCCGAGTGCTGGAATTTTCTCTTAGCTCGGCACCAAGGAGCGCAGTGTTATCGCTGGCAAAGGTTGCCTCACCGTCATTGATGGAGCTTTCTATCGTTAGCTTTGTGGGAATAAACCGGGATCTAGTAGAACGCAAAGTGGGAGAAAGAGGAAAAGGCAACCTCCCTGTCGCGCTCGGTATGAAGTCACGTATCAGTCTTGCTAATCCTCAATGACTCAATGTTGCGACTTATTCGGTGTTCCTTCCGCTGCCGTCTGTTACAGTCGCAACTCTAAAGAGACGTCACACCCATATCAGCTGAATTTGAGACCTAGGAAGTATGTTCACTTGGCGCTCTGATAGGTATACCTGAGTAGCAACCTACTGGGGGATAGAATGCAATCTTTCCTACAACGCCGGCGCGCGGGCGTCGAAGCCCAAGCACAAATCGACAGAGACATTGGAAAAGCACAGTCCTCAACAGCGCAAAGAAGGCCGCACGACGATATAGGCAGGGACCTCGAGAACCAATCTTCTTCGTCACAGGAGGAGGAGGAGAAGAGAGCAAGTCCACTCTTGGAATCACCAGGCGGTACTACCAACACCAAACCCGAAAGCAACGAGCAACCGAATCAAGCAGGGGAGTACGATGCCTCCGGTACGACCGTCGAACGGAGCCAGACGGCACGGACAGGACACTCCGAAGGCACGGCCCTCGGCCGCGTGCTAACCGGCATCCACGTCCGGGACCGGACCGGCGAAGAGGGTCACGGCGGCCGTGTCTTCGTCGTCGGCTGGGCGGGGCCGGACGACCCCCTGGACCCGCACAACTGGCCCACGGCGAAGCGCATCGGCGTGACGCTCCAAATCTCTCTCATCGCCCTCTTCGTCGGCTCCGCGTCCGGCATCGATGCCACGGTGCTCCCACAGGCCGCGCAGGATCTCAGCGTCAGCCAGGTCGCCGAGTCGCTCGCCACGGGTCTCTATCTCGTCGGCATGGGCCTGGGCTCCCTCATCGCGGGGCCCTTTTCCGAAACCTTTGGCCGCAACGCCGTGTACGCGGCTTCCATGGCCGTCTTCATGATCTGGATCATGGCGTCCGGCCTGGCGCCCAACTTTGGCGCGCAAATCGTCTTCCGGTTCCTCGCGGGGTGCTCCGCCTCGACGCCGCTCGTCTGCTCCGGCGGCTCCATCGCAGACATGTACAACCGCCTCGAAAAGACGTGGAGCTTCCCCTTGTACGCGATAACCTGCTTCGGCGGCCCCATGATCGGCGCCGTCATGGGCGCCTACATCGGGCCCTCCAACGCCGTGAGCTGGCGCTGGGTAGAGTGGACGACGCTCATCTCCTCCGGGCTCGTGCTGGTGCTCGTCCTGCTCTTCATGCCCGAGACGTACGGCCCGCTGCTCCTGCAGTGGAAGGCCGCGCACTACCGCCGCATCACGGGCGACGACCGCTTCCGCTCCGAGCACGAGATCGTCGACGCCACGCTCTTCAGCCGCCTCAAGACGAGCATGACGAGGCCGTTCCTCATGCTGACGGAGCCCATCATCATCTCCATGACGCTGTACATCACCGTCGTCTACATCGTCCTCTTCACCTTTCTCGTCGGGTGGCCCTACATCTTTGAGTACACCTACGGTCTCGACCAAGGGCTCGCCAATATCATCTTCATCTCCATGTTCGTCGGCACGCAGGTCAATTTCCTCTTTGTGCCCTTCATCTACGCCAAGACAGCGAAACGAGTCAAAAGCGATGGTGGAAAAGCGGGCTTCAAACCAGAGATCCGTCTGTGGTACGCCACCTCCGGCGCCGCCGTCTCCGTCCCCATATCGCTTTTCTGGCTCGGCTGGACAAACTTCGCCAGCATCAGCGTCTGGTCTGCCATCTTCGCGGTCGCAGTGTTTGGATATGGCGTCACCGGCATCTTCATGTGCGTGTACATGTACATAATCGACTCGTACGAGATATACTCGGCCTCTGCGCTTACGTTCGTCGCGCTCATCAGGTACATGGTTGCGGGCGGCATGACCGTGGTGGGAATCCCCTTTTTCGAGAAGATGGGAACGCACTACACTCTAACCATCCTCGCTTGTATATCGGCCGTGCTTGCGCCGATTCCCTATGTTTTGTATTACTATGGCCACTGGCTTCGAGCCAAGAGTCGCTTTGCGGTATCAATGTAAAGTAATTTCATACATCTAGACAGCGTTCCTTTTACTACCAGATAGCACATAACGCTACACATACCAAGTATGTCTGCTCCTTGATTGCAGGATGACCTTCGCCACCTTACTAGATCGAGAATACGTTGAGCTACGAGCTGAAGCTGCGCTGACATAGTATGATCGCGCAAGTTGCTGAATAGACAATATTGTACTCGTACTTAAGACACAATGCCGGTAACAAGGAAACATCTCTAGCCTTGAGACTTCGGGATCATCGAGGATCCAGAAAAGCTCGTCGACATGAAATTCTTCAGTTCACTTTGTTCGAAGTCGTTAAGGATGACCAAGAAATCTCACCATTGCTTCCAACCATCGCCCGCCTCCGGCACTTTCCACCAGCCAGTGTTCCTGTAAGCATCCGAGACGTTTTGTCTCAGAATTCGGAAGGAAAACATGGAGTCTTCTCAGTGTTGGAGAATTGACCGAGGAAACTGACTGGGGTTCTTTGCTCGTCGAACGCTACGGTGCGGGTCCCATAGATAAAACCACGGGGAAACCAATGTAATATTCTGTACCTCATCCGAGTCTGCTGGGTTCTTCTTTGCGCACTTTTGGAAACACGGAATTTTCCATCATGGACCATATGACAGCAAGTCGAGTAAGACTTTGAGCGTCCAGTTCATCAGGCGCGAAGACCCCAACAACCAGACATAAACAAAGCCGGCCAACCCCAAGGAAGCCGAGAAAAGCCTCTGAGAAGAGAGAGAAAACAAGAAACAAACATGCATTCCGGGTTGGGACGGCAATCATAGTCGAGAAAACTCTTCACAAATCAGCAACTCTTTATTCTCGAGGGTTCTCCTATTCCCCCTCCCCTCCAATCCATGGACCTTGTCTCCGGAGAAATGTTGCACTTCACACGTTCTGCCTGTTTGCTGTGAGTCTTCTCAACTCCCACGTGAGATTCCTCTCCCCTTCTTTCCATCTCGGACCTGCCGCATCGTGTGACATGAGGTTGTTTTCTTTTTTGCTTCGTATCAACTGCCTGCCAACCAGCCTCCTCGCCACATCCCTTTCCCCCCAACATCATCATCGCCCCCCCTGCGACGTGACCGTCCAATGTTTGGTTTTTCTGTCAAAAAGAAGAGGAAGAGAAGATAAAAAGCCCCTACACGGAGTAGTTACACAAACAAAAGCCATTGAATAGCTTGAAAATAAACGCCAGCCCGTGGGATGATGTTCCTCCTCGGATGACGAGGAGGTTCCCGACCATGCATATAATAATAGTAAAAAAAGACACAAAACTTTACATCGTGCTGTCGTCGCTTCCGTTGCATTACCATTTCGTATGGGAATCATCATCCCCAAGGAATCAAAATTCAACGCAGCCAACCCCCTTTCGAGTCGTAATAATCATGGACCATGTGTCTTTGGTCCCTCTTTTCTTGAGACATTTGGCGGCGTAGTGACTACCTGCCTTGGGGTCTCGAACTGGCCATCTCACCGTGCCGTCCACGGTGCTGCGTCGTGTCGTATGCCTGAAGCACTCTGGATTGACTCTCATCTGCTTGGGAGAATGCGTAACCGCGCTGCTTACGCATGCGCTGCACTTGTCGCACCTTGCGAATTGCCTTCTGGAATTGCTCCATTCTGATGGACGGATTAGTGTGCTGTCGCTAGAGAGGGCTGTGAGCATTAGAGAGCAACGTACCTTGGTCTGTAATCTTGGATATTGTACTTCTGAATCTCCTGAATGTGATGGTATGTCTGCGGCATGTACATGCGCTTGGCAAACTTCCAGGCAAAATCGCGCATAAGACACATAATCGCGAGCGCAAAAGTCTGCAACCAGAAGACCGGGCTGCTGTACAGCTTGGGAATGACACCGTGATACTCGGCGGAGAAGGGGATCATGGGGGCGACGGTGCCGTACAGAGCGATGAAGCCCCACCAGAAGAGCATACTGCCAGGAATGGCCATGACGTGGTACTTGGTCCAGTTGTTCGTGATCAGAGCCGCCTTGCCGAGAACGGTGAGCAGGACCGCAGCGTACATGGCCGTGCCCCAGACCCAGTGACCGGCGATTTGTCCATCGCCTTGGATGAGTTCACCATACCAGATGAGTTGGCCAAAGACATAGAGGATGATGGAGTGATACACAGCGTTGGCAACCCACTCGGCAAAGACCTTGATCTTGAAAAACTGATTTTGCTGACCCATGTTGTACAACTGCGGGTAGCGGTCGAGGAGTCTGGCGGAAATGAATTGGTCGAGGATACCCAGAGCGAGAGGAGGGAGGACGGTGTAAAAGACGTTGTAGAACGAAAGCGTCCAAGACTCGTAAATGACGGCTCCGGAGAAGACATTTTGGAAAGTGTACTGGTCAAATTAGCAATCTAAGTCCACAATCCATCTATCAGTAAACTTACCCAAAACTGCGTCATGTACAAGGTGATGTTCTTGTAGAAAGAGAACAGAATAGTCTTGGCAACCCGCTGGTAGCTCCAAGCGCCGTGAACGAGTAGTAGCTTTCTGAGATACCGGAACTGGCCGATGGATACATCGGCGCTTCGGGCGGCCTGTAGACCTTCCATACCGCTAATGCCCACACCGATATGGGCAGCTTGAATCATGGACACATCGTTGGCACCGTCACCAATGGCCAGCGAGATGGCCTCCTTTTGATACTTCTTGACCAGCTTGACGACAAGAGCCTTTTGAAGGGGAGAGACACGGCAGCAGATGACGGCCTTGCACATGATGGCGAGGTCAAGGAATTGCTTCTCGAGGTCCTTCTCCAAGGCGTAAGTCAAAGACTTGCCATCGATGACGAGTGCGAGAGTTTCCGTTTCAATCGTCCCGTCTCCCTGTGTGCGAATAGCTTCGAGCTTCTTTTGTATGTTGTCGCGAGTTGCCTCGGCACTTTCTTCGTTCACAATCAGGAGCATCATATCCTCGCTAAGCAGCTTGCAACTCATTCCAATGTTGATGGCGGTCTCCTGACGATCGCCCGTCAGAACCCAGACTTTGATGCCGGCCTGCTGAAGCGTGTGAATGGTCTCGGGAACACCATCCTGAAGGCGATCTTCAATAGCAGTCGCTCCAAGGAGGTAAAAGTCGTGCTCAATAAGTTCTGCTGCCTTGTCCAGCTCGTCGGCACGGTTGCCGCCAACGGTCATACCGGCCTTTTCAAAGACCTGGAACCATTCCTGGAATTCCTGCTCGGGAACTTCACGCATGGCAAGGCAAAGTGTTCGGAGACCTTCAGAAGCGTACTCTTCCAGGTGACGCAGGGTGGCTTCGACATGGGGGTTCTGATCGTTCAGACGCTCGAGAATGACGGTATCGGCACCCTTGCAGTACACGCGGACCTTTCCGTCGGGGCATCGGTAGATAGTCGACATGCGCTTTCGGGTAGAGTTGAACTCGCAAACGGCCAAGAGCTCATACTCGAGCTCGCGTCCTCCAGCTTCGATGAAGACAGACCTCGGCTTGCGATCGGTGAAGACGTAGCCGAGCTCAGCCGCGCCCTCGACGAGCGCACCCTCATCGGGTGAGGCGGCTTGGTACTTGATTTTGCCGCCCTTTTCCTCGCTCCTCTCGGGAATGACTGTGTGACAAGTAGCCAGCAACGCCAGGAAATGATCAATCACGGGAGCCGTTTCGTGGCTCTTGAGGTTCTCCGCCAATCTCTTATAATCGTGGATTCCAACCTCGACACCATCCTGAATTGTCGCCCTGAGGTCCTCGGGAACATCTTCGGCATATTGAATACCGCCAATCGAAGCCTGTTTAAATTCCATCATATTGCAAGTCAAGGTGCCCGTCTTGTCGGAGAAGACATATTCAACCATGCCCAGTTCTTCGACCAAACTCGATGTTCTGCAGTTTGCCGGCGTGTCCGTTCTGTCATAGTAGATGTCGAGATCATCGTTGATGAGGATTCCGTGCCAGTACTTGACCATTTCCAGCGTGACGAACAGGGAGATGGGCACGAGGGAGGAGAACAAAACCCAATATGTGACCATGTCCTTGAAGAAGGTCTTGATGATGTCGTTTGCTGATCCGGTAGAGTCAAGCATCAGGTACTGGAGAGCTTGGCCCTCAACCTTGCGCTGAACAAGATCGCCTACTGTGCAAATGACGCTAAGCACAAGGAGGATACCGACCAGCACGAGAACAAGAATGTTCAGCTTCTTCTCGACCTTTGTGCGTTTGATGGGTGCAGCAGTGGCGTTACGCATGAGCTTTGTCTCGTGTCCAGTGAAGACAACAACACCATGAATCCAAGGCGTATTACGAAGAGTGGCACCTCGAAGCAGAAGCTGCTCGGGGTTGAGGGGCAGCTCTTTTTCACCACCCCCAGCCTGCATTGTCAGGGTGGCCTCATACGTGTAAAGACTGCTGTTGGGCTGTTCGGACTTGATTCTTCCTCCGAGTCGGCTCAGATCGCTGGAGCTGACCATCGTACACGTCTCAGGTAACGCCTGCTTGATCTTCAAGTTTGTTTCTCCGTCAAGGTTAGCTGTTTCGATGTAGCAAAGTCCCTCGGGCTCGGAACTTGCAAGGAGGACCAGATCGGCAGGGAAGGGCTCTTCAGATTCGACGCGGATAATGTCTCCGACCGCAACATTGATCCATTTGGACTCCTGGAAGGCGGTTCCGCGCAGGATGCGGGCCTTGGACGTGTTCAACTGGTGATCGGCTTGTTTTCTTCGGTAGTCCTCCACCAGTTCCTTGCCTGCCGACACCATCATGACGATGAAGAGCGGAATGATGGTAGTGTATCTGTTGGTAGGCGAGAGATTGGGGATTTGCTGCAGCGCAGCCGTGAACAAGAAGAAGATGTTGGCAAACTTTGAAAACTGTTCGAAGAGGAATTTCGGGAGGAAGGTTGCGACATTGTACTTGGCCGTCGAGATGTGGTTGTCGACGTACTTATTCGCTGCGTTTGCGGGCGGGTTGTTGAGATGGATCAATCTCGGACCCAGCGTCGAAGGGTCCGGCTTCTTTCCTCCGAATCCAAACTTGAAGTTACCCATGTCGAACTTCTTCCCCCCCTTGGCTTGCGCATCGATGCCAGAGTCTGTCCGTCCGTTACCGCCAGCCTCCGTCAAGGGCAGGTCCATCTCCGAGTATCCTTGGCCCATCCCAAGCTTATTCTTCATGCGGCCAAAGAAGCCTCCACCCAAACTCAGGACGCTGTTACGGTTCCGAGCATTGGACCTCGCGGAGGGATCACCGACATTGTTCGTACTCGTCGCGGCGCCGCCTTGTTGGTAGTATGATTCGCCTTCGGCCGAGTAGTCGTCAAAGTCGTCGGCGTATCGCTGGTAATTGTTTAGTTCTGATGTTTGACTGTAGTGTCTCTGCATGTATGGGCCGGAGGATGCGCCGCCAGAGACACCAGGCGATTGAGGGCCTCCAGGTAACGGCCTCAGTGCTGAGGGTTGCTGTGTGTGATTCCCTCCCCCTCCTCCGCCGCCGCCGCCCACAAAGTCATCGTACGAAACGGAGGGTCGGCCTTGGGCCTGGTCTTGATCGTGGTTGTAAGAGCGTAAAAGGTCGTCGTCGTTCATATTCGATCGCTGTCCAGCATTGTAGGTCGGTTGCTCGCTGTCCAAGTCTAGTAGTAGGTCGTTGTTCAAGGGTCCTCCTGGAGGACCACCCGTAGGTCGTCCAGTCATGCCGGGAAGGCTGATAGCGTTGCTAGGCGATCAATTTGCAAGTGTCAGAATGGCCAGCATGCAAATTTCGAGGTGATTGGATTATCGTTGTGTTTCCGGACACATGAAGGGAAGAAGCGATGCAGTCGAGAGGGTGTGGTCGCGCGGACGATTTGGCAGCCTAATCGGTGGATGATGGAGATTCGTATCGGCGGGAGCAGTGTAGCTAGAGGCGACGACGACGACAACGACAATCAGCAATGAAAGCGACGCCGCAGCTGGGCGTTTGCTGAGGGTAGCTGATGTGGTGGGAAAAAAAGAAGTGGCCCAGCAGTCCGTATTTGTTGCAGCACAGCCTCCTTCTGGCGCAGGATTAGGATTACACAGTGGTCGGCTTGCGCTACGTCAACGGGCTGAGTGCGCAAGTGTACCGTAGGTAGTTGATCCCCAGGCGAAGCCGAGAGTAGGTACCTAGTGGCCGAAAGACGGTCCCCGGTGGCAGTGGCTCAGGAGGCAAAGCAACGCAGTCGCTATGATTGGCTTGCAACGGTCGAAAGATTTCACAACAGGAGAGGGCGTCTTGGAGACTGTCGAGAGGCCAAGAAGTGAGGTGATGTGAGGTGTCGTCCGCGGGAAGGGTGGGATCTGCGGAAAGTCGTGTTTGAGGTATTGGTGGTGCTTGAATGGGGTTGAATTGGGGGGAACTCGGGAGACAGCGCAAGGGAGCCGGCCGGATGAGACTGGAAGCTAAACACGCAGCAGCAGCAGCAGCAAGTACTTAGCAGCAAGGCGTTAGACTGGGCGTAACTTGTAAGGTTGGTAGCGTGGGTTTTTCGGGGAGGCGCAGGACAGCAGCAGTAGCAGTAGCAGCATCAAACAGTGCAGATTGAAGACACCAAACCTCAATGGACGGGACGGGGAAGGGTCGAAAGGGTCTCGTTGGCTTGAACCGGGACGCCTTGCTTGCGGTACCAAGGTACTTGAGTGGCCTGCCACGTCTGCTCACAGCTGGCAGTTTCCTCAGGCAGGTGTGGCAGGTATCTTCATTCTCTGTGCTTTCCTGGGCTGTTTTGCTGTGAGACCAGGTACGACTTCGAGCTGGGCAATGGGATTGGGTGGGCTTCCATTGGTTTTGGAACCGCAGCTCCACCAGAAGGGGGCACGTGTGGGCCTGTTGCTATTCTGATTTCCTGAATCCTTGGAAGGCCGTTTAACTGGTTGGGCCTAGCATTGGCTGCATCTCTTCCTCCACGTCCTGATCCTCTCTGCCTCTCTGCCTCTCTTCGTACCGGATGCGAGACCACAAGCTGACAGCAGCAGCGAGAAGTTTAAAGAGCTGCGTCGGCCTCCAGCCACACACACCAACCTACAACGACAGGGCGAAGTTGGTGGATGTCGGCAGGAATGCCCGCTACGCCACTCTCGGTCAGTCAGCCTGCAGCTTGTCTGCGTTTTCCCCTCAACACTAGACACAGTCGCCAATCGAACCTTCAATCGAGACGTAAGGGGCGGACGGACGTCTCGCACGGAATCTCGGGACCCCGTCACATTTAGCCTCCTCTGACACGAGCCAACTTCAGAGTCCGCCTCTGCTCAATGCCCCTACGGATAGGCAAGTCATAGGGCACAGAGTATCTGCATCTGTATGCCCGCTCAGACCCCAAGGGCTCCGACGACCACCTAGCCAACGCCAGGACCATCGTGTAAAATGGGCCAATAGACTAATACATGAGGACAGACGATGAACAATGGAGACAACGCAGCAATGCCCAGGCTGTTGAGCAAGCTTTGATCAGGGTAGGAGTTAAGCATCATCTCCCGTTCGACGACAGAACCTGTTTCCCCTTGGCCATGTACCTCTTCCGAGTCGTTTCCCCCCGATGATCTGTGATTAGCTGTGGAGTACGGATATGCTCTATACGGATACTCTCGCCCATCCCAAGTGAACAGACGAAATTTGACCCAACCACGGCATATTCTTTCATCCCAGTAACCCCCGGCATTCTCCAAGATGCTGAAGAACTTGATCAAAATAAGATCCATTTTCAATTCCAAAAGTGGCTGGGATCCCCGTATGCGCATAGCGAGGAAACAACTCGACAGCAAAGTGTCCCCCCCCCCCCCCTATTGTGGCTACCGCGTGTGCTGGGCCAACGGTCCCAGAGTCAGAGGTCCAGACAATCCGAACGTCCAATGTCATCCACTCATTCTCCAGGGCAGACATTCCAATCCCAGCCCGGCCCGGTGCTGGACCCACACGAATCTGGACGGACCCACCGGGGGAAACTTCAGTCTTCAGCACCGACCAACGACTCGCCCTGCGACGTTGCGTCACTTCCAGCTGCCGCCCTTTCCAGCCACACCTGTTATCATATCTTATCTCATGCTTATCACTGAGGTAGCAACACCAGCCACTCGTCCCTCTCTGCCTTTCCAGTCCTCACCCATCATCAGATCAACCTTGAGCAATTGCGACTTCAACCCAACCGACGACAGACCTATCCACCGAATTTAAACCCATCCCCGAAAATGGTCTGCACAAAGTGCCAAAAGCTCGGCAAGGGCTCCACGACCCTCGCGACGCCCTCCGTCAAGAAGAAGAGCGAAATCTACCACGGCTCCTCCTCGTCCTCGTCTTCCTCCGCCACCAAGTCCGCTACGCTGGGCACGACCGGCATCGGCAAGAGCAAGCTCCTCTCCAAAGCTGCCAAGAACCCGTACGCCCAATACTCCAGCGCCTGCTCAAAGTGCAAGACAAAGGTCTCTCAGGGCCACTCCCTCTGCCAGTCGTGCGCCTACCGAGCCGACTCGTGCGCCTCGTGCGGGAAGCCGAACAAGAAGGTCAAGGGTGCTGCTCCGTCGATCGCAGGACAGAAGTTTACGTTGAAGTGAGACGGTGACAGAAGATAGACGAAACATAACATCACTTACATCACAACGAACCGATATTGTCGAAAACCCCCAGACGATGCCCTCGCGACGCGGACCTTGCGTCCGACTAGAAGCTGGGAGGCCGGCCGGCCTGTAGGGGCCAAGAGCTGCAACGATGAGGCCGGGCAACGAGGCCTGTACTCTGCGCCATCCAGAAGCCCACTTACATTGCGGCAAGCGGCTCAATATGCGCCGGGTCAGGGACGGGATACAACAGGTGGCAGGCCGTCGTTACAGCCCAGTAGTGGCTAGGAATATAAATCACGAGGGCCAAGCAAGACAGACAGTCCCACGACATCTGACATCACTTCTTCGTCCCAATCAAGATAACAACAGTGCTAGGTACAGATAGTCATAGCTGCAAAAAAGAGACCTCAGGGGTCAATAAACGCACAAGCCTTGCTTGGTCAAATTGTGTATTTCATTCTACATTGGCCGTTCACTAATCGTTCCCGAAACCGTGGTTCATCCCTGCCTGTCATAAATATAAACGTTAACGTCAAATCCAACCTCGCGCGGCCCCCCCTCCTTCGAGAGCCCGCGCTTCTTCTTTTTTTGGCTTTTCTTACAACGACGCCGTCGGCTTCTTGTCGACCTTGCTCTCGATCCACGCCTTGATCTGCTTATTCACCTCCTCGGGCGCCTCCCACAACGCCCAGTGCGTCGCCGTCACCTCGCCCCTCGACAGGTCCTCAAAGTGCTTGTCCATGCCCGCCGCCATGGCCGGCGGCAGCGCCGCGTCCTTCGTCGCCGAGATGAAGAGGCTGGGCGGCGTCACCTTGTACGGCTCCCCGCTCTTCTCCGCCGCCTCCGCGAGCGGCAGCTCCTCGTCGTAGTTGATCTTGCGCGTGCGGTACCAGTTGGTCGGGCCGCGCATGCCCGACTTGCTAAAGTTGTCGGCGTAGTACGCAATCTCCTCCTCGGACAGCAGCGGCGTGGGGCCGATCTTGCCGATGTTCTCCCAGATGATGCCCCTCTCCGTGTTGAAGACGAGCTCGCCGGCGGGGCCCTTGCCGCCGTAGATGCCCTGCAGGAACTGACGAATGTCCTCGGGCTTGGTGAGCTTCTCGGGCACCTCCTCACTGCGCAGCTGGAGCTGGTACTTGAAGTTGGTCAGGCGGCCCGCGGCGATGACGTCGGCGAGGTCGAACCAGGCCGTCGTGGGCGCGTTGTAGGGCGTGCAGACGCTGAAGACGCCCTTGATCAGGGACGGGTGCCACATGGCGAGGCGCCAGACGAGCGCTCCGCCCCAGTCGTGGCCGCCGAGGATGATCTGCTCGCCCGGGATGATGCTGTCGCAGAGCGCCTTGATGTCGTCCGACATGCTCTTGAGGGAAAAGGCCTCGAGCTCGGCCGGGGAGGCCGTCTGGCCGTAGCCCAGGGTGTCCGGGACGATGACCTGGTACCCCTGGGCGAGGAACATTGGGATCTGGTAGCGCCAGCCGAGCGAGATGTCGGGGAAGCCGTGGATGAGGACGACGGAGCCCTTGGGGGCGGCGTCGCCCTCGGGCTTGCTGAAGAGGTAGGAGTAGGTCTTGCCCCTGACCTCGGCCTGCTTGCGCTCGACGCGCGGGTCGTTGGGGGCGATCTTGTCGACGGCCATCGTTGGTGTGTGTGTTCGTATACCGGTATGCGAGGCTTCCGTCTGTGTCGGAAGCTGTTAGGGACCGTAGCGAAAGGCGGGAGGAGGGAAGGAGGGGCAGCTAGTAAATGGCGGGGTGTGCGGTAGTCTTATACTCACGTTGGCACTCGACGTCTGCCAAGGAACAGACCCTTGCTAATACAGCTCAGTGACTGATTGTAAGCTCCCTCACAATGCTATTGCGGGGATCGATGAAAGAGAAGGTGTATATGCGTGTTTGTATGAGTGTGTGCAGCTTCACCGACACCTATCTCACTAGACTTGTCGGAAAGATAAAACTACTTATACCATTCGAAGTATCGCCGAGTCGCCGAGTTATGGAGACAAGTATCGCACTTTGAAACTCGCCCGATTGCTTAGAAAGCTATGGAAACTGGCCACCTAAGAAAAAACATACGAGCGGTGTAAGTCGAGCCTCGGCATAGCTTGTTCCATTTTCGGGCTCTACCTCAATGCAGTACTTCGCACACTGAATATCATCGACCTGTTTGCACCAAGCTCTGGGTCCAGCGTATGGGTCGCAAGGTGAGGGGCATGGCTTGAATTTGACAGGGGACCTGACGTGCGGCGAGCGGCGGCATTGGCGAACGGCGTGGCCGGGCATCCACCCGCGCGGGGCATCGTCTTTGCTGTCCATCGGAGTCCCTTGATGGAATCGTGCTAGCGGGCCCCGTCCGTGCTGTTGCGATGCCTCGGTCCAGGGACAACTTGAGACAAGGGGACTCGCCATGGTCGGACGGTACTCAAAAACGGGGTTTCGCCATTGTCATCTTCAACAGATAGTTCAGAGTCGGAGATCGCATTCTCTTTACCCGAAAAGCGTAAATTGCAGGTCGAGACGGGAGCCAACGATTCTTCAACGGCAAGGAACAGCTGTTCTGGACTAAAAGGTCCCACCAAGCTAAAGCAGGAGAACGTCACCGGTCTTATGCTTGAGTCAGAGAGCATGGCTCTACGTAGTAAGCCTTTCAGTCGGCGAACAAAGTTGGTCTGAATCCCGTTTCTGGACCCAAGTTTCTTTTTTTCAAATATCACCATGGGCACCTTTCCCAAGTAAACGCCGCTTTAAACTCCAAATGGTATCATAAAACCCCCAACTCCGCCTTCAAACTCGCGCGCAAAACCAGGGAGAAAGCATGCCTCCCATATCGCCTAATGTTATAACAATCACATAGACTACTGCGGCTGTGGCGTCTTTTACAATGAAACGCCGGGGAAGAAAAGATGGGAAAACACCACTCGCTTTTGTCAGGCATTAGTAGATAACCATATCCTCGTCGTTTTCAACGACATCACCAGGTTCGTCGTGTGTGTCCCGCTCATGTCTGTCTCTGTCGGAAGACGCAGCTGCGTGGTCGGTAGCTGCGGGAGCTTCAGCAGAAACCTCTGGCGGAGCCTCTGCTGGTTGTTCTTCTGTGACCATTGGCACAGGCTCCTCCTGGGCCGTGGTCGGCGGCCTGATGCGACCGTGGCGTCTCTCGTGTTCTTCTTTCCGATCTTTGAATGCTTCGAGTTCTCTCGCGATGGTGTTCTTGGCGTCTTGCACCTGGTCATCAATCTCGTCTTCTTGTTCTTTGGTAAGCTTCCATGGTCGATAGTACTGCAACACGTCAGCTGATGGCTGTCCCCTTGCGCAACATGCAATACGCACAATTGACGGTCCTGCTTTCGTCCGGAGGGATTGTGCCTTTGCGAGCATATTGGCGTGTCGGGTTTTCATCTGCGGTAAAGAAAAGCTTATTAGTACTTGGACGAGGCCCTCAAGGGGGAGGTCGGGGCATGCACGTACGACTTTCTCGTCAAACAAGATCTGCTCCTTCCGCCGCGCCTCGGTGATCCGCGCGAGCTTCTCTGTCCGTCTCTTTTCGTCTTCTGCCCTCTGTTTCTGTGCCCTCTCCTGCTGTCGCTGCTCAATCTCCCTCCTCTTCTTGTGCTGCGAGCTGGAGTTGGTCTGGCTGAGGGTGCTCAGGAGACCTCCGAACAGCCGCTTACCCCGCTTCTTCTCTTCATCCCTTGATAAAGGCGCTCGTCGAGCCGTACTGGACCGGGGATCTTCGTCGCGCGGCCTCGAGTCTTGTGTCGAATCCTGTGCAGGTGGGTCGCCGTGATCGCCATCATCGAATTTTGCCCTTTTTGATGATTCTTCCGCTGCATCAAGGGAGCCTATAGACGCCTTCCGCTTTTGTGTAACCTCCATCTCAGAGCTCGCGGGTTCGGAGTTGATGGTATCAGCAGGTGCCCTGGAATCTGTAAGCTTCTCTTGCTCGGTCCGAAGGGAGCCGGTTTTGTTGTACTCTGTGACAGTGGCCATGATGATGTCGCTTCCCACCGTCGCAGTCGCAGTCTTCTCGGCCACAATCTCAAAGAAGGCAGAGCGCGAAGGAATGCGGTGTGCACGAAAGGAACTGAATGCGCCTCGGTCCCATGGTAGGTATTCCGGAGCTTGACAGCTCCAACCCGAGCTCCAAGGCTGAGGTTTGTCAGCGGGGTCCAGCCACTCGGAAGGACGAACCCACAGACTACCCCACTTCGGTCGGATCAGACAAGGGTCCGCACCAATGACCGAAAGAGAACCGAGAGGAAGAAGTGGCGAGGCTGACAGGCGCGAACGTCTTTTCTCCAAAGGTTCCTGAAGAGAGGGTACGATAAGCTGCGACTTGCGACCATCACCTCCCGCGACCCGCAAGACAGCTTCAGCCAAACCTCACCACCCAGAGGCGCTTCTCCCACAGATTGCCCATCATGTCGCGCCATCACCCGTAAGCCATCTCCCAGTCAAACCCCTCAAAATTAAATGCACAAGCTAACAACTCCCGCCAGCGATCTCGTAATGTGCCGCAAGCAAGCCGGCATCGCCATCGGCCGCCTCTGCGACAAGTGCGACGGCAAGTGCCCCGTCTGCGACTCCTACGTCCGCCCCACGACCCTCGTCCGCATCTGCGACGAATGCTCGTTCGGAAACTACCAGAACAAGTGCGTCGTCTGCGGCGGCGAGGGCATCTCGGACGCCTTTTACTGCTTCGAGTGCACGCGCCTCGAAAAGGACCGCGACGGGTGCCCCAAGATTATAAACCTCGGCAGCTCCAGGACCGACCTGTTCTACCAGAAAAAAACCAATCGGACGGCGACGTACTAGTCCCTGCGTCGCCCGGGATATGGGCAAATTTGATGTGTTGTTTGAATGCGAGGAGACGGGAAGACTACAAAGTTTTCGTGGAACAGGTATCGCATTGCCTGCGGCGTTTGGTGTGTTTTGGTTCACAGATATGGGACAAGGGTTTTGCGGCATAATTGGCACTAAGTCAGACATGATAATCTTCTCAAAAGGCGGCATGAAACGGTTTCACCAAACAAAAGAAATGCTTCATTTTGCATAAATATCAAAAAGAATGGCCAAACAAATAGGCCAATGTTCATCCAAGTTCGTATAGTACAGTGAGGTCAAAGCTAGCCAAGTACCCGCGTCGTAATCATATGTAGCTAACCTTGACTCCCATTCCCGCGGTCGCCTTGACCTTGTTCCAACCATTACCAAGCACTCGCTGTATCCGTTCGCGGACGTTCTTCTGCCCAAACATGACGACCAAACCCAAAATAAAGGCCACGAGCCGCATCAGCAGCATCGGGTTCGTCTTAAATGATGCTCCCAGCTGGTCAATCACCTCGCGCAACCGAGAGATGACCATTGACGCTCTCGTTCCCAAGGTCGGCGGAGCTGAAGATTTCCCTTTTGCCCTAGAGACGGGCATTTTCGAATTAGAGTTGGACCCTGATGTGTTGGAAACGGCCCTGGCGTGGCGTCCCTTGCTTGACCCCGCCTTACTCGAGCCTGCTTTACTCGGTGTCTTTTCGATGCCATAGTCCCCTTCGGCGCCTTCTCTTCTTGCCCTCTCCTCCTCTAACCTCCGTCGTTCCCTCTCTTCATTTTCGGCTCTCAACTTCTTCGCCTCCTCAATATCACGCCGAAGCTGCTCTTCTTGTTCACGTCGCTCTTCCGTCTCTCGCCTCTCGGCTTCCTGCTGTTCCTCCTGCAGGCTTTGCAGAGCTTGCAAAAACGCCTCGCGGCGCTCATCGTCTAATACCGAGCTGACGCTGATAAACTCTCGGGCATAATCCCATTCATTATTGCGGATAAGTACGTGAAGCGTGTACAGCTCGAGGATCTTGACCCTAGCATTCAGATCCCTCGGTGTATCCGCTCCACTGGTGGCCTTCGCCGGAGACCTATGCCGGTTCAGCCGTGGTGACGGCGACGGCGAGTCGGAAAATCTCTTGGAGAAGTCCAGATTTGGTGATGTGGCGGCTGCGAGATAGCTCTCGAGCTTCCTTTGGTTCAATTCTTGTGTCCGGGCGTGGGCTAGTAAAAGTGTTGCGCTACGTTGTTGTTAGTGTGTGTTTGCAACAGAAAAAAAAATAATAACGACAGAGAGGGCATCCTACAGGTTAATCACAACGTCCGAATCGACGTCGCTCTCGACGCCGTGGTATCCGTTGCGTACGACCTCCTCCCAGATGTCTCCTTCCCTGACTTTGGTGCACAGCGCTCTCCACTCTTGGCTCCCAAACGCATCCTTTCCTTCGTCCGGCTCCAGTTCGACGATGGCGTTGAGCGTCGTCAGGTACAAGCTCCAGACCTTGATCCTCGTGGATCGCGATGCCCTGGCGACGGGCGCTGGTTCGCCTGCGCCGTTCTCCGACTGTCCCGAGGGTGGGGTGATCAATGGCAAGATGGTGGATAGTGCCTCGGGTAGACGACGGGTGAGGAAGAGGGTCGAGGCCTGGCGGTAGGTCTTTGAGATTTGCGAGGTATGGCGCGCTGAGGTCGATGAGGATAGAGACGAGATGGAGCTCGCGAGCATATGTGGTGGGAATGTAGCGGTGGTCTCGGAAGAAGCGACCGTGGGACTCAAGGTCGCCGTGTAGGAGCCATTGAGGGACGACATGTTGGCGGGCATTTAGGAGCGGGAGGCAACAGCAGCAAGCAACGGGGTCAATTTGTCGGCATTGAAGAGCCCCAGGCGGAGGGAAATGAGGGAAAAAAGAACGGGGACTATTGTTATGTATCTGGAGTGCGGAGAATGGCGGCCATCATACGCGTTCCTGCTCAAATGCCACCTGCGGGTTGTGAAGAGAGCCGCGACATGTGGATGTGGTTAGATTCGGGTTCCTGGGCGTTGTGGTGGTGGTGTGTGGTGTGTGGTAGTGGTGGTGCTGAGGTAGCTGGGGGTTGCTGGAGAATGGAATTGGAGTCTGCTGACAGTCAAACATGCCGATTACCGCAGCACCTGCACAGCTGCCCGGGACAGGCACGCACCGGCACGGTTACACTTTTCGGCCATGGCCCAAGTTTAGCCTCGGTTTGTTTCTTAGTGGGTTCCCCCCCAGCTTCTGCGTTGCTGCGTTGTATGCTGCCGCTGGGGTGGCTGGCCAGCTGACCGCCAGAGCATGAGGGGAGGGGAGCGATAAGCGAGTACCAGTGACGTTGTCGCTGGACGGCTCACATGTCAAGTACCTCTTTAGCCTCCACGAGCGCGGCCTTCTCCCGGCGTCCGGCCTTCTTGAACTTCTCATTGGGTGGAGTTTCCTGATCGGGGAGGACGCTGTGCCTGGGTCGGAGAAACAGGGGTTGCCCTCGACGACCGGCCGAGCTTTCATCTCACCTCCCGGAGATCACCAACCATTTAGAGACGATCGTCTCATGCTCGCTGCGGCCTGTCATTTCAAATCTTCGTGTTGTATTCAACCCGCCAAGTCGGGATTCCCTTCTCAATTACTGCTTTGCTTAGCTGCGTCTATTATGATATCCTATTAATTACCCCTCTCAACTGTCAATCCCAAGTTTGCGCGAACGCGTTCAGGGTTTAGACTTTTCTGGCCCCCCCTGTGCTTCCCCAGATTGTTCCGAGGCATCTCGCGGGAGGCAGAACCACGCGGCTCCCGGAGAGAATGTCATCGCCATTTAGCCCCTGACGCTTACATCGGTGTACTTCCTATTATAGACTTTGAGAGACCATCCACCTCTCATGGCTGGCACCAAAGTGTTGTTGTGGTGCTCAGTACACGTGGAATTTTCTTCGTCGCGGGGTTCTAGAACTGGATCATCTTACGTCAGGAATCGCTGAGCAGCTCAAACATCCAAGGCGTATAAGCCGATGGGAAGGAGTGGCCTTGGGACAACATGTCAAATAATGTGCTGAATGCCGACGTGCTCTTATTGTACTTTCAATCAAGTATGGATAGGCTCATCTATCGAAACATAGTTTTGCGGGGCGTCTCCAGAAATCCACCAAGGGTCATCCGTCCTCAACGACATTGCAAAATCCATTGTCCTACTCACAAACGCGTCTCCCTGCTCATGAGACCAGTGCCACCACCAACAACCCAAGACGCGATTTCGCGTTGGCACGGTCGGCAAACTCTTCAATCCAAGGGCAATTACTCTTCGTCGCCAGCTCGACTCAATAGCCCCCTTCTATGTGAACTGTCTTGCGGGGGGCGATCCGGACCCGGTTGCGAATGCCGTCAAATATCTGCATCCGCCAATTGAGTCGACCCACGTGCTCTTTCTGGGCATTATAATCTCTCCGTGTGTCAATGTGGAAGTCTTGCAGGTGATCCAGGAATATTAAATCGTATCCAATGGCTGACAGCCATTCTCTGTCGTACAGCCTGTATGTTCTGCTCTCGTATGAGGCGCCTCGGCCCTCAAGCCTGGCCGGTTCCTCGCGAGCGAGCTTGTGGGCAATTCGCAGAAACACAACTGCCGTCATGTGGCCTATCTTCATTAGTCGACTCACCCACAGTTCTGCTTGTTCTGCCAACTCACTATCGAAGCCAGCCTGATGGGCTGTTCCACGACGTCCATAGCCATAAGCTGCATCCCAATGGATGCTTGGCTGCGTTCTGTTGCCATCGAACCTGTTGTATAGATCCATCAATGGGTCTTCGCCCTTGATCGTGTCGTCCTTAATGGCCAACAGCTTCGTGTCTATGATGTATGGAAATAGGTTGTGTATCTTTGCCCGAAACTCATCCAAAGTATCAGGGAGGTCGTCGATGAAGGTGTTGTAAAGGAACAAAAGGTCCATGAATTGGTTGTGTCCGATAATGATCGGCTCGTATCCTCGGCCAAAAGCCTCCAGCTCCTTGAGGGCACCTGCTACTTCGTCCTTTAGTGTTTCAGTGGATAGTTCCTCGAGATCTTGACACGAATCGTCCCGAATGGTCGGCTCATACCCGCTGTCATACCAGCTGGATGTCCCAGCCGTGATATGCCGGGTACCGGTGTCGCCCTCTTCTCTTTCGCCGTCGGCCACTCCCTCCAAACTGCTTGAAGATTCGCCACTATGGCTAGCCGAGTGAGCTTCTTGAGCAGCAATGGTCTGTAAGCGGACGTTATGGGGAGGGGAAGAACCAGTCCTTGGCCGGCCGCTGCCAAGATCTGGATAGCAACGTTCGCAATGAACATCATACACCAAGGGCGTCCGCTCTTTATCTCCAACTCGGCGTCTAGAGAGGACTCTCTTCTTCGTACAAGGGCACTTGCCTTTAGTAGCCAAGTTTGTCTGGAATGCCATTTCGACGTTCTGCCCCGAGGACGGACTAGGGCAGCCTGTGGCAGGATCGTGATATGTGCAGCACAAGTGACAGTAGCAATCATTAACTTCGCCCTCTGAAGGCTTTTCCGATTGTTCTGATGACGCGGGGTGAAGCAAGTCATGAACCTCTTGACAAAAGGCTTGTGCTTCGCCAGGCCAGCCAGACATGGCTTCGACGACGAGGTCGGGGTTAATCAGGTCGGCAAACTTGCCACCGACAAGGGCTTCAATGATCAGTCGAATTCCTTGTATCAGTCAGCCATCGATGGAACATCGCACGTTGAGAGGAGCCGACCTGTGTACTTGCTCAACGATGCGTTGAGATCGTCCTCTAAAGACTCACGCCTCTTGGTGATGTCAGTTATCTCTATTCTCGTCATCTTCGTCCGCGTAGTGCATACGAACCTTGGCTTCTTGTCCATCATCCCGCCGGGAGATGACCACGGTCGTGCCATGATTCCAAAGACGGCAACCCATATGTGGCACAAGCTCTTGAGCCTTTCTACGAACAATTTGTTCGTAGACGCTCATAAGTTTCTTGCTTTCAGAGTTGGGCAAGAGGATCTTGATATCTGTAGCTCGCTATCCAATCTCGATATTAGTATGTATTATAGAAGGGGACGAGAACTTGAGAGGAAGGGTGTTTTTCGGGTACACACTAAAGGGATAAGTGCTACTTACCATCCATGGATCTGTGTAAAGCCAATTTTCAATCGTAACAAGGACGTAAATAGAAAATGTATCGAGGCCTTCGTCTTCCTCGTTGTATCCATGATCTCTGGCGTCCCAAGGCTCTTGTCGGCGCTCCATCTGTCGAGTTGCCAAGCGTGCCTCTTGGCGGCTGAGGTATGGAACGCAATTTCCATAGATCTTTTCCAGCCGGATACCTTCCGATCGAAGAAATTTGAGAGTGTTGTATGATACAGAGAGGCTTCTGTCCAAGCCTTTGACGAACGTTTCATCAGCCCGTGTTTCTGTATGGAGGTAGGGGCTGACAGTGAAGCTGTAGGTCTCGGTCTTGTATGTGCCATCTGCGGATCTGTTAGAATACGATGCCGGTTTCTGTGTGGATGGTGGAAATACAAACCCGACAATTTGTCAACACAAGTGATCCCCAGTTCGAATACGTTGAACTTGGATGCAATGTTCTTGGCCGATTCGTAGGTCTGCTGGTTGGTTGAGTTGTCGTATCTGTTTTCCGAGCCCTTGTCCATGATGCCGGTCATCTCGACGTCGATGGCAACGTAACGAGACTTCGCGATCGAGAGTAGAATCTTCGGCAGCTGCCGCCAGAAGTTCTCTGACGAGACTTCCATGTTGGGCGTCGAGATGCTATCGATTTCCTGCCTCCCAGTCGTCGATTAGTGGTTGAGAAGGAAGGGTAGGAGAAAAGTGGAAGGATGAGTGCGTTGAGGTAGAGGAAGAGGAGGAGGAGGAGGAAAAATGGAAGGTGTGGGAGGCTCGCCCAGGGGGAAAGCAACAAAAGCCAGCGAGAGAAGATGGATTCAGGAAGGAGCTCCTCATGTCTGCAAGAAAATAGGGCAAGAGCACTCGATCACTCCGGCAGGGTAGGTCCTTCAGCGGAGTATTTGTCCCTGTGTTCCTTCCTGGTTCGTTGTTGAAGGTGGAATGGGGACCCTAATAGATGATAGATATCCTACTAAAAAGACCGAGGGTCGTTGAACACTTGTATGACCGTAGCAAGATGAAGACCTGAAAGGAATAAATGCCCTTCTCATTGAGATTTTTCATTGGAGGTGCCAAACAGGCAAAGCCTGAAGCCGATACATCACCATCACATATACTTTATATTCAAGTTATTTCTCTCTGTAAATGGTACGTACATATTGTCAAACTGAGGAATTATCTCCGAACTTAATGAGAAAAAGATCAAAAAGTTCAACTCTTATCCTTGCGGACAGCGGAATCTATGAAAACCCCGAGACTCTTACCAGCCTCAGGTGTAACGATGGAGGTTTTCTAACGGCGGCAGGATTCGAACCCGCGCACCCGCGACGCAAGGGGACGCTCCTCGTCAAAGGAACGCCTCTCTGATCCCATTGCGCCACGGACTGTTGAAGACATTCAGAAGAGTTTAGACATATGAGGGTAGGCCAGGCGGTCAGGAGGCCCGGGGGGAAGGCAGCCATGGGATGAAGGAAGAGGTGGGGCTGAGGCTTGTGGCTGGACGTGGGAAGTGAAGTCCACGAGGGGAAAGAAGGCGCGGTGTGAGGTAGGAGGGGTTGGGCTTGGGAAACGCTGCTATGGATTTGTCTTTGCGGCCTCACCTCTAGAGATTACTGTTTGTGGTTATACGACGTAGTTGGACTTGATGTCAAATTGGTAGAAGCAACCTTGCATTGCGTAAGAGCATCAAACGTGTCAAAACTGGGAACTGCAAGATGAAGTAGATGGAATTGTGTTTTCCTACATATCTACTTGAATTCCCTTGGCATGGATAGCTTGAAGAATAATGGGACACATGTGAGCATGCAAAGGCCCAATGTTTCAGCAAGTTGACAAGCTATGTGATATCACGCACGGCATTCCATTATTGCTGTTAAATCTATCTACTCTTCAATAACGGTAAGACCAGCATTGTAGACAGAAAGGTCAACGTCTTCGAAGCACCCAAAGACGCTAGACTCAACTCTCTTAAGTTGATGGAGGACAACGTGGTATCTCACAGGCAACAGGCCTGGTCCACTTGCTTCCAAGGCAAGACCATCTCGAACTGACTATGGTTCTCTAGTCCAGGGAGCAAAATTACATGAAAACGAGCATCTCACACCCAAGTCAACCACAAAGTCGAAAGCACAACCCAACATAATCAAGCCCTGGCCGGGAAGACATGATATCCAGTGAAAGATTTGATTGTACAAGTTTATCTATGATACAACAGCGTTACACATCCTCTCAACCATTCTCCAACAACCTTTTGTCTGCCCTCTCGTTTTCACCACTTGGAAGAGTTCAAGTTGTACACATGGCACCGACCGGTCCAAACCGATATGGAGGCATACATCTACCGGTCCACCATCATGCCCCGCACATTGTTGTAGTAACCCGGCTCCAGCACCTCGGCGAGCTCCTCCTTGGTCAGCCACTTGAACTCCTTGTACCCAAACTTGTTGGCCGTCAGGTCCGCCTGGCCCGCCATGATGCGGCCCTTGAGGAAGAAGGTCTTGCTGCCGCGCTCAAAGAGCTCGCCGCGCCGGACCTGCGTCTTGGCCACGTGCACGGCGGCCGGGCCGCGGCCGACCATCCACGTGTTCATGTTGACGCCCGCCGTGTCGTCGAGGATTCTCTGCGCAGCCTGTTCCCGATGTCAGCATATATCAATATCGAAGCATGGGATGGGTAAGGGGGGGGGGGGGACTAGGGTAGTGTTGGGAGTGATAGGAAACTCACCTCGTGGAGGTTCTCCTCCGTAGACAAGCCCGCCGCAGGAAACTCCCAAACGTCCTTCTTGCGACCGGCCTTCCTGACAACGAGGTACAGCGTCCTCTCCATGGCGCGATCCAACCTCGTCTGGTCCCCCTTGATATCCGCCTCCGACACCCGCGGCGCCAACGCCTCGGGCGGCGCCCGGTCCTCCTCGGGGATGATCTCCGCGTCGTCGCTCACGCGCATCACGGCGTCCTGGAGCAGCAGCTCCACCGCCTTGTCGTGCTTGCTCAGCCCGTCCCCGACGGCCAGCTCGTCGTCCCACGCCGTCGACGCCTTGCCGTTGTACACGCCCAGCTCCTTGGCCACGGTGCCCTTGCGGTCCTTGACCTTCATGTTCCAGTCAATCAGCGCCGGCGTGTCGGGCTTGAAGTAGACGGACGTGATGAAGGGCATCGTCAGGCGCTCGTTGAGGCGCTTCTGGTAGAAGAAGTAGGACTGCTCAAAGTCCGTCAGGGGCCGCGTCAGGAGCGGCGCCCGCGTGAGGATCACGCCTGCGCGGATCGAGGGTGGCGGGATCGTAATGTCCGCCGCAGCCGCCTTGGGTTCGGTTGGTTTGCTGACTTTTGACGAAGGGGGAGGAGGAGGGGGAGCGTTGGTCGTGGTCGTGGTCGTTGCGGCGGCGGCGGCGGCACCCGAGTACGCTCGCGAGGGAGCTGGAGCTCTAATCTGGACCCTCGCGCATTGTCTGCAGACTCTGGGGGTTGCTGTAGGGGGGGAACTCAAAGTCAGCCAATTATCTCAATGTTCATCCGAAACGTAAACCTACATTGTATGCGCCCGAGGGCGGCGAATGCGCCTCTGCTGGAAGCTGTCATCGTGGAAAGCGCTGGGTATACGGGGTCTCCTCCTTGACACCTCAGTCGAGAATCTCCAGATGGGAATTGAACTTTTTTGCTGTTCAAGCTCAGCAGAGGTACGTACCGAGTGGCCGGGGCGGCGCTTACCTAAGGTCAGACGTCCGACTAGGTGCACCGTGCACCGATGCAGCACAAGGTAAATCTTGTGGTGCCTCATATTGTACCTGAAAAGCAAGGTTGATCTTGACAGGCGCCCGGGTCAACATCGCGCCTGACAAGCGCGGGTCTCCATCACGTAAGCAGAGGTACCGTAGCGGGGGCTGGGGTGGTGGGACCGCGCAGAGCCTTTATCAACCCGACGCCCTGCCGCCAAACTTCTTTTTTTTGTCTCTTTTTTTCTCTTCACGGCACCATTTCCTTATCGTCAAGACCTGTTCCGCCTCCAGAACGTCCTGATCATTTATTCCGGTGCCCAGAGTAAATCGCAGTCTTTTTTCGCTAACAGCACCTGCATCTTTTTACTGGGTTCATGTTAGATAGCTACTGCAAACACATCAGCGCCTTTGACCGCTGTTTAAGAATGGCTGGCTTCTGCTACCGCATCAGCAGAGTCCGGAGTGGACTCTCGCTATGTGGCAAGCAGTGCGTCGCGACAACCGTACACGTGAATTCTCTGCTCCGCACGTCACTTGGTGCTGCTGACTGTGCCGCCGCACTTATAGCTCGAGCGTGTTCACGAGTACCGGTGCTTCTCAATCAGAGTCGTAATATCCATTCGTCGTGTCGTCGTCGTCTATCTACCTGCTAAAGTACAGAAAGCCTTTCCAGCCTAATCTTGGGTCACGCTCTCGACACAGTCTCTTTCCAAGAGATCCGAGCGATTCGAGCTACTACGGGACCCCACCCCTAAGATACACCTGTGCCTCTCCCCCGCCCAATCCCAGAGACACGGGAAATTCAAAGTTGAAATTTTGGAAAGAAAAAAGAAGCCTCCTTTGGAATGGAGTGTTTGGGTATTAGACCGCTTGATTCGCTGCCAAACACCAATAACGCCTAATGCCCGATACCATTCGTTCGTTTATGCTGCCGAACGCCGATCAAGCCTTGAGTTCCTCAATCGCACGTGCAACCTCTTTGGTAGCGATCTTTTCGCACGTCTTTTTGGCATCATCGTCCAGCGTCTGCGGATCGCGAAGGCCCTCGTACAGCTTGCGGGAGACATCTCGGTTGATGTTTGCATATTGATCGGTGGTGAGCTCCTTTGCGCGCCAATGGGGCTTGAGGGCAGCCCGGACGATGCCGCTGATTCTTTCCTTGGTCTCAAAGGGGATGGCAGATCGCGTAGGCGACGAATCCTGAGACCGAGCAAAGGTCGGTCGCTGACGGTTCGGTCGCTGTGGGCGAGGCTGGCGAATTTCCGCGCCGTTCGATCGACTGTCAGAGTCACTACTGTCCCCAGCGTTTCGAGTCGGCGAGTAGTTGGCCTTGGGGAACCGTGGTTCCACATAGGAGCTCAGAGATAGCGTAGGTGAGCTGGGCCGGGGATGGGGTGGCGGGGTGAGAGAAAGCGCCCGCGGTGAGTTTCGTGATGATGGCGAGGGGGATGTGACTGGTGAAGAGGGGTCAACACCAGAGCGAGTACCGAAATAATTCCGCACAGTCTCGTCGTCGGAAGGTGCGCTCATCTCCACCTCCTTAAGCAGCGACGACAGGAATGATGGTCCAGGCTCTGTGTTGATGGGGGACTGGACGCGCTGCGTGACGCCGTTCGTCTGAGGCCTCGATGCCAGAACACTCGTCGGCGCGGGTGACGAAGTTATCGTAGGTGCGGGGGCGAGTGCGGACACAGTGGCAGGGCCGACGCCTGAAGCGGTGCCAGACCCAGATGCAGATCCCGACACTGAAGCCGAGGCAGAACCCGATCCGGAGCCTTCTCCCTGCAAAGGCAATCGGCGTGTGCGAGGTCGCTTCAGCTTGCGCTCGGGTTCCTGAGCGGGTTCTTGAGGAGAAGCCGTGGTAGATCTCGACTTTCTCTTGCGGGGATTGGGAGCGCTCGTCTCGGCTTCGCGAGCCCTCTCAAGGGCGCCCCAAGCCTGCTGCTCCTCTCTCGTCTCGGGAGCCGGCGGAAGGGGTTGCATGACGGGTTCGACTGGGCCACCGTCGAGGCGATGACCGACGGTTGGGCGAATATTTCTTGCAAAGACGTCTCTGGCGCCTAGACGACTGGCGATGCTCATGCGCTGCTCCCAATCTTGGTGTTCTTGGATATCGCGAAAGTGTCCTCTCTGAGCCTGGGCGCGGCGAAAGCCCTGGAATAAGTCTTCGTCTTCGTGGTTGTCGAGGTCGATGTCAGTAGCATCGTAAATGCGACTCGCAATCCGGTCCCATGCACCCTGCCACTCGAGGGATCTTGCCTCGCGTCGTGCATTTCTAGCTTGCAACTGGGTTCGCAACAAGCCTCTTTGAGCGGTAACGTTTCGTCGGTTTGCTGAGCGTGCAGCTGGGTTCAAAGGCCGTGACTGGATCACTTCGACATCCGAAGCCTCACTAGGGCTGGATCGGCTGGCATTGTTGTTCTCATCACACTCAAAGCAGTACCAGGACTCGGTCTGGGGAACACCAGACAGGCCGATACAGTGTGTATGATAGGCTGCGTTGCAGCCATCGCAGAGAAGCAGCACCTCTTCATGATCCGAGGACTCGCATATGGGACAGGCAGGACTCGGCTCCTCGCCCTCGCCCTCGGGGTTCTCCTGAAGCCATCTGTGGATATCAAACTCCTGCTCTTGCTTCTTGTCTTGAACAGCGTACGAATCGATAGGGGGGCCTGTTATTGTCACCAACGTTAGTTTCTTGTTGCTAAAGCTGCTGCAGCTGCTGCGAGCATCTATTGCGAAGCGGGATGTTTTGATACGTACCGTTGAGCTCAGATGAGAGGCTGACCTCATTGAAGGGTGTACGGCAGATGGGGCAAGTATTGGAGTTCTTGGCCCAACTTCTGATGCACTGATCGTGGACAACGTGATTGCAGCCAACGAGGGTAGCAATGTAATTTGACTCTGGTTCTTCTAGTATTTCGAGATCTGAGTCGATGGTACGGTATGTTGGTTGTATTGTTGTGGTGGTGGTGGCTGCTGCTGTTGCTTTTGCAGCCGCTGGGCCCGCTACGTTTTCAGCAGCAGCGTCTTGCTGCTGTTGCTGTTGCTGTTGCTGCTGCTGCTGCTGCAACGAGGGGTGCTGCAGCGACTCCAGGCATATGATGCACTGATCCGGTTCAGTCATTGTGGCAACTGTGGTAGTATCGCTTGAGGTTTGATGAATTCATAAAAAAGCGTCTTTGAGCAGGGCCAACGGATGGCTTTGAGATTGCAAGAATATGTACGTTGATATTGTCGTTGTAGCCGTGATTGTGCGAACTTGTTTATGGGCTTTGTCGCCTTGTTGTGTCGGTCGTGGGGTGGCAGATGGTAGGTAGAGGGAAAAAAAAGAGAGAGGTGCAGAGTCGTTCAGTGTCTGGTGGTGGTAGTGGCAGGCCTGAGGTGGGAGTGCTGAGGCGACTGAACGGCTGTCGGGTCGCTATCAGTTGAGTGCACAAATGCACGACCAACTGGGCAGGTTGCTGAAGAGTGGGAAGGGTACCAAGGGGGGGCACTTTGGGGGTTGGAGGGGGAAAGTGGAAGGTGACCCAGGTTTGGTAGGTGAGTTCGATATGTCCTGCGTTTCTGGCGCGAGATGGACTGTCAGTCGGTTCGGGGGATGTTTCGCCGCTGCGCTAGGCAGGGAAACCAAGCAGCAAAAAAAGACGAGTAAGATATACGATGAAATAAAGTGGCCGGTGTGGAGAGAAGAGGGGGGCTTCAAACTTTGGCTGGCAGTGCTTTTCTGGTGAGGCGAGACAAGTAGGAAGAGTGAGAAGGGAGAGAAAAGGATCTGGTATGGTCGCCTTTCTTTCACAGTGTACGGATAGATGAGGTATGTTCGTGGGTGAGGTGCCCACTGGTGGACGGGGGGCGGTATGGGAGTCTTGAGAGAGGTGGTGGTAGGTAAGGTAGGTAGGTAAAATGGTGGTGCTGGGCTACCCGAGAAGACCTTGGGACCTGGAGAAATGGACGGGAATTGTAAGAGGAAAGGTTTGGAGAGGCCAGGACCCCCAAGGCGGGTTTTTTGCGAGCTTAGCGCACGCCTGCAGCTGGTCTCAACTGGAGCCAATCAACGACCGGCTGATGCAGTGGTGCGCCACGCTCCTTGCACCTTGGTCCTTCGTCCTTTGCACCTCACCCTTCGCGGGCTTCCCAGTCGATGGCCCACTGGGCTGGACTGTGGACAGGGACCTCATGGAACTGCATCCCATGCCTCCACCAGCAACGGCAGCACCCTCACAGTCACACTCTGTCACCCACACACACCCGTGGACACAAACGTGCATCTAGACGCATGCTCGAAAGCAGGTCGACGCACTGAGACGGACCGGACTAGCCCACTAGGGTCGCTGCAAGCCTGCAAGAGCACGTACTCTCCATGGATCGATGCAGGAGCCGGAGCATCAACACCAGCCCGGAGGCAACATCTCACCTCACGGACATCCCACGCCGAGGAAACACACAAAAAAGACCCTTGGGAAGTAGGATGGGGCCTGTTGAGGGATGATGTTACTGCTGCAGCAACAACTCCTCCTACTCGGCAACGTTGTCATCTGGAGGTGTAGGCACGCAACTAGGTACGTATGGGACACCTCTGGCGGGAAGAAAATAAAGAAAACGATTTGGTACGTACCTTGACTTGGCGGCAAAACCACGACAACAACGGCTGGGAGCTTGCGTGGTTGCGTTACTTCGGCTTTGCGTTTGCCAGGCCCTTCTCCTCACGATTCGACAGCTCCTCTCAATTGTCTATTGACCAATCCTCCAATCCGGTAGGTACTGAATGACAGAGCGCCAGAGTGCCAGAGTGCCAGAAACAACTGAGAGTGAAAGAGCTATGTCCGGGGGAAAACGGTGGGAAGGTGGTAAGGTGGGCGGCGAGTCAAACACTCAATGGGTTGGCTACTTGGCTCGTGCGACGTTGTTTGGTGACTTTTTGGTCAGGTACCTCGATCCAGCTGAGCGTGGGTGTGATGGATCATAGAGAGAGTCTTAGGTCGGTTCGATAGGTAGGTATCTAAGTGGCGGATGGCGTTGAGAACTTGAGACGTCTTTGATGAAGGGCAAGGTGTGAGGGCGTCGACGTCAGGCCCTCCTGTCAGGTGTACTGCGTAAAGCGTACTTCGTAGTACCTAGGTAGTCCCAAATGTTCTTGATGTGAGTGTGAGGTGAGGCAAGGCAAGGCAAGGCAAGGCAAGGAAAGACAAGGAGGTAGTGTTCCGAGTTGGCGCGCAACGACGGCAACGTCAGCCCGAGTAACATGAGGGGGGGGATCTAGAGACAACCGCGGGACAAGCAGAAGCAACAAATCCTGCAACGGTGGGAAGCGGTCGAGGGCGGAAGAATGATGATAGCTGAAGAGGTAAAGTCGGGGCGCAGGGCGTGAGTATTCGGCGCTGGAATGGGTCAGGTCGACAATGGGTGCTATCTCCGCTTCCAGAAATGGGCTGCCTGCACCCATCCCGGATGACGGGAGTCGGGGGGCAGTGGCAGACAAATGGGCAATTGCCAATTGGGAGGGAAACTAAGGTACGGCGCTGTGTCCGTAAAGCAAGGTACACGTGAGACCTTCATGCCCCTCGTTTCTCGGAGGCCGACGAGATTGGTTCGATGGGGCCTGGCCTGCGTCAGGTTGCGACCCCAAGCCCAGAGTCCGGTCTCTTCCTTGGTGCTTGGTGTGCCCGAGCAACCTTTTTTCCATTAAATCATTGATTGTTCGTCGACGGCCGCTCGTCCCGGCCGGATGCTACTTTGCCTTTTCCCACATTTAATTGCCAGAGGGGGGGGAAAGATGCGGAAAGGGTAGGAAAGCCAGATTCAATGATTAAAACTGGCCAATTTGCTGCGGGTGTATACGGCGTTTTATACCCATGTGAACCTGCTCTCGTTTACGGCGGCATTTCCGCGCGGCATAGGCTCACAGCCCGTAATCCTCTGAGCCCCCAAAGTGTACTGCTTACCGGGTACTTGCGTGGTATTGCGGACGTGGATACACTCTGGCACTTTGCACTTTCGTGAGATCCTCGGCGCGCGAGTGGGCATCTGCGTATGTGTCTCTCTGCTAAGATGGCATACGTGCAGCGATATCGAAAAAAACAGGGTCGAGGTGAGAAGCTCAACTCACCGACTTACATGGCAATCGGAAACCCACTGTGCTTTTCGGTTAACTCGTCTTCACCGCGACAGCCGGGCCGCCTCATTGGCCCGCCGCCTGACCCCCAGCTGCATTCGCGCCTTGTAAGCCTAGAACACCGGGATGAGTCAAGTTGTGATTCGACGTGGCATCGCTACCGTAACGGCTGCCGCGCACTTGTTCGCTTTGCTTCGAGAATGCCCTTCGTCGATGTTTCAACCCGCCCCAGAACATCGAGATGACTACCGGGCTTCGTGAGAACCTTGGTGGAACACCCACCCTAACGCAGGCACCCAAGCGGATCATTCCTCTTTGCCTTGCTATTCCCAGAGATGACTGGAGATGACTCGGCCTCAACGTAGACACCTTTACGGCGCTGTTCTCTACGCTGAATCACGATTACGTAGCCTGACGGGATATCTCTCACGATGACTGGAGCAAATCTTTTTTTGATGTTGGGTGGCCCGCTTCGACGCTTCAACCACGCGGCTGAAGGTGACGGGGTCGATGACTCTATCCATGCCAACTAACTCCACGCGCCCTGCCAAATGACCTCGTAACGCTCTTCACCACTTCACGATGTGACTTGCCTGAGCAGGTCGGTGGGCGTATCTCAGGGACGGACGGGAGGGTCAAGCGATCGGGAGGGGACGTTTTGTTTGTACGTCAAGTTCTTTTCATTGCTGACCAAGTGGTCCCTCTGGCAGCTGACCGAAGACCCGTTCCGTTATGGCCATCGTCAGGATGTAGGCACGATATCCGATTTTCCCAACACCGCCCGAAATGCAAAGCAGAAACCATCCACCATTCGTAATCCCGTCCCTTAAACCTCAGCAATCTCTCTCAGACGACGGAGAGTGGAGCGCATGGCAGCAGCGGCGGGGGTGCTATTGTACAGTGTTAGCGTTCAGTTTCTGGTCCGACATCTTATCGTGTCAACATACGCGACAGTGTAGGCACCGCCAGCAACGGTCTTGTTGCAGCCTCTGCAGTTCCAGATGCCGGTGGAGTGGCGCTTGACGGTAGGCTTGCCGCAGAAGGTGCAGGTGTACTTGGCGTGCTGGGAGATTTCCATCTTCTTGACCTGCTTACGCAGGGAGGCACCGTAACGGGTACCGTACTTTCCGGTCACTCCGACCTTCTGTGAGGTTGTCAGAAATCTGTGGCTTCAATACTCATGATTTCTGGCTTATCGACGATAGCGTCAGAGGGCCGCCTGGCAGCAAATAGCCCCGAGCTGGGAGTCTAGACGAGAGAGAGGGTCGAGTTTTGATCGAGGTGTTGGTCTTAGTCGTGCACGATTTCGAGATAGTCAATTTTCGACAGCTGAGTAGACCGAACATGTGGTGCACAGGCAAATCGGATATCTTTCGTGATCAATGGTTGGTGGTATCTGCCTTCCTGGAGTCGGGAGTTTCGTCAAAGTTGGCGTCCATGGTCAATCGCTCGTCTCGTGCATCTCTCTCTCGTCATCGTCTCGCGTTGCGCTCGGGGATATTGCGTAGGCGGCCGACATGTTCCTCCCTAGCCCAACTACTAAACCGAGCCCGTGATGTATGCCATTGTCGCCAATGAGGGAAAATCGTGGGCGGTTTCGACGCGGGGTAGGGAAGTCCAAGCAATGACGGGAAAGTCGATGAAGCCATTCGTCCTGGATGGGATAGTAGAGCATTACGAACCTTCGTGCGCTTGGCCATTTTGTCGAATTTTGGGGGGGAACGGGTTCGTTGACTTGAAGTGCGACGAGTGGTGTTGACGGTTCCTCCAAGGCGGTTGAAATTTCTAGAGGATGGTGTTGAATTTTGTCAGGGCTTGCCGACTCCGTTTGTGCGCTGGGAAAGCGAGCACGGACCACAGTTGACGCGAAAAAAAGAATGCGGCAGAACTCCGGCAGTGGGGTTTGCACCCGCCCTGACGCAACCCCTGGGTCCCCTCTCACAAATCGCCAAATCTTGACCCCATAAAGGCACGTGATCCTGCACCTGATAGCTGACCGCGGCTTACCTAAC